ACAGAGGCTGTGTCACTGTTTTGTTTTACAATGGACAAGCTTTACAAAATGGCTTTTGCCCACTGAATGCAACTAATATTAACCAATCTAGCAAAGAGCATGTGAGGACGACAACAAATTAGTGCTTAAGGCAGCCTAATGTTTTTGCATTAAAGGTCTATTTTGAGCTGTTCCTGGTTTTGCTTCACTTTGTATTAAAGTTGTGCTCGTGCATGTGTAAACCAAGTACAATCCAAATCGGAATCCCATTTGCTTGAGGGACTGGGGTTGCCAATCTAAGTAAAGGCTGCTGCTGAGAGGAGCTCTCTTGTCCCCTTGTGTCAGCAGTAGTGCTGGGGCAACCATGAGGCCAAACCAATCTAAAATATACTCTAGGTTTCAACTGCATAATTTCTGCTGCTCGTCTGACTTTGTGGTTGAACAAATGCTGGTGCTGGCATAGGGGAAGGAGTAGCCAGGAGCAGAAGCTGGAGCAGATGCTGACGGGGAGGGAGGAGGAGCAACAAACCACAGAGCTGCCTGTTCTCAGCAGCAGTTCTGCATCTGCCTTGGCTTAAAGTGACCATGAGTGATTACCTTAAACAGCAGTAAGTGCCTTGAGGAAGTTGTGCGTGTAAAATATGTTCCTATTTTGACCTCCATCTCTTTGATGGAGACAGGGAAGGCTTAAGGCAGCTTTTTAGGCTTTGAGGAATGGTGTGATACAGAGATCACGCTGCTATAGTACAATTCGAGATCCTCAGGAGAGTGAGAAAAGCATGCAGCAAGCTCACTGCCGTGGACTTCAAGAGAGCAGACTTTGGCCTCTTCAGGAACCTGCTTAGTAAGGTTCCATGGGATACAGCCCTAGAGGGCAGGGAGGCCCAAGGCTGTTCAAGGATCACCTACTGCAAGCTCAGGAGTGTTGCATCCCAGCTAGAAGGAAGTGCAGCAGGAGGGCCAGGAGACCTCCTTGGATGGATAAGGAGCTGCTGAGAAAAATTCAAAGGAAAAAAGAGGCTTATAAAAGGTGGAAGCAAGGACATGCGGCCTGGGAAGAATACAGGGGTGTTGCTTGGGAAGCTAGGGACCAGGTTAGGAAAGCTAAGGACCAGTTAGAATTAAACTTGGCTACGGATGTTAAGGATAACAGGAAGGGATTCTATAGGTACATAGCTAATAGAAGACAGACTAGGGACAACATGGGCCCTCTCTGGAAGCTCTCAGGAGAACTGGCTACACAGGATTTGGAGAAGGCTGAGGTTCTGAATGACTTCTTTGCCTCGGTCTTCACTGGCAAAGGCTCTGACCACACCACCCAAGTCTTGGAAGGCAGATGCAGGGACTGTGAGAATGAAGACCTTGGGCCCACTGTAGGAGAGGAACTGGTTTGAGACCATCTTAAAAATCTGAACGTGCACAAGTCCATGGGACCTGATGAGATCCATCTGTGGGTCCTGAAGGAGCTGGCAAATGAAGTTGCGAAGCCGCTGGCCATCATATTTGAGAAATCATGGCAGTCAGGTGAAGTTCCCGATGACTGGAAAAAGGGAAATATAACCCCCATTTTCAAGAAGGGGAAATTGGATGACCCGGGGAATTACAGACCAGTCAGTCTCACCTCTGTGCCTGGCAAAATCTTGGAGCAGATTCTCCTGGAAGTCATGCTAAGGCACATGAAAATCAACAAGGTGCTTGGTGACAGCCAGCATGGCTTCACTAAGGGGAAATCCTGCCTGGCCAATTTGGTGGCCTTCTATGATGGGGCTACAGAACTGATGGACAGGGGTAGAGCAGTTGATGTCATCTACCTGGACTTGTGTAAAGCGTTCGACACTGTCCCACACGACTTTGACACTGTCCCACACAACATCCTTGCCTCTAAATTGGAGTGACATCAATTTGATGGATGGACCACTCGGTGGATAAAGAACTGGCTGGATGGCCACACGCAAAGAGATGTGGTCAATGGCTCAGTGTCTGGCTGGAGACCAGTAACAAGTGGTGTCCCTCAGGGACCAGTGTTGGGACAGGTCTTGTTCAACATCTTCGTTGCTGACACGGACAGTGGGATTGAGTGCGCCCTCAGCAAGTTTGCCAATGACACCAAGCTGTGTGGTTCGGTTGATACCCTGGAGGGAAGGAATGCCATCCAGAGGGACCTTGACACGCTTGTGAGGCAGGCTGATGCCAACCTTATGAAGTATAACCATGACAAGTGCAAGGTCCTACACCTGGGTTGGAGCACAGCTACAGGTTGGACAGGGAAGAGGTTCAGAGCAGCCCTGCGGACAAGGACTTGGGGGTGTTGGTTGATGAGAAGATGAACATGAGCCGGCTTCAGTGTGCGCTCACAGCCCAGAAAGCCAACCGTATCCTGGGCTGCATCAAAAGGAACGTGACCAGCAGGTCGAAGGAGGTGATCCTGCCCCTCGACTCTGCTCTTGTGAGACCTCACCTGGACTATTGTGTGCAGTTCTGGTGTCCTCAACATAAAAAGGACATGGAACTGTTGGAACAAGTCCAGAGAAGGGCCACGAGGGTGATCAGGGGACTGAAGCACCTCCCGTATGAAGATAGGCTGAGAAAGTTGGTGCTGTTCAGCCTGGTGAAGAGAAGGCTGCGTGGAGACCTCCTAGCAGCCTTCCAGTATCTGAAGGGGGCCTATAGGGATGCTGGGGATGGACTCTTCATTAGGGACTGTAGTGACAGGACAAGGGGTGATGGGTTAAAATTTAAACAGAGGAAGTTTAGATTGGATATAAGGAGGAATTTCTTTACTGTGAGGGTGGTGAGGCACTGGAATAGGTTGCCAAGGAAGTTGTGAATGCTCCATCCCTGGCAGTGTTCAAGGCCAGGCTGGACAGAGCCTTGGGTGGCATGGTTTAGTGTGAGGTGTCCCTGCCCATGGCAGGGGGGTTGGAACTAGATCTTAAGGTCCTTTCCTACCCTAACTATTCTATGATTCTAATACAACTTTTTGTGTATGGAGTGATACCCAAGGAAACAGAGCTGAGGAATTCCTGCCTAGGATCACAACTGTCTGAGAATCCTCTATATGTGGTGGGCCTCGTTAGTTTGTTCATATCATTCTGGAACCAGCTTCTTGGTGTAGGGCTACTTCAATGTTTGAAAGGAAAAATAAGCTTTTAAGAAATAGAGAAAAAAAGTACTTGAAAATATTGTTGGAATGCACAAAACGTTGAAGAATCTTTAAGCAGCAATGAGCAATAACTACGGCATCTCTTTCCACTGCTGTTTTAAGAGCAGGGTTGGCTGTTGCTAGGAGTGGCTTGATATGATGGATTTTGCTGTGGGAAAGAAGTGGATTAGATCAGAGGGTCCAGTTGTTGTCCAGAAGATATCAGAGGATCACCTTATGAAATGGTTGAGTGGGTTTTGGTTTTGCTTTTATTTTTTTTTTTTGAAATATGCAAAGCAAACCCCACTCATGCTTGCATTTCTCCTAGTACAAGCAAGCAAAGGTAAATGATGGCAAATAATGATAAATTGATTTATCCAAGCTTTACCCGAAATCATTTGGTTAAAAATGAAAGTAATTGTGACAACATTGCAATAAATGCTAAATGGGGTTTCCTCCTTTCCCTTGCTTCTCCCCACAAAATAAGCTGTTGTTTTTTTTTGATTCAGAGATCAATAGATATTGACCTAAGTGAGATCTTGAGGTCCTTCATATTTTTTTTTCAAAGTTTTTATTGTGTTTACAGAACCAATTGCTTTCACACCCCAGAACAAAAGTTCATGGTTTAGACCTGTGTAATCATATTCTATTAAGTGCTTTTATTGCAGTTTTCACTGAATATTTTTTGGTTTATGTTTTTGAATATTTTTTGCTTTATCTTTTCCTCCAGCTTTTTTACCAATAGCAGCATATTGAATTCTATTGTTAGGAAGAAATGAAATAGCAGAGTTGGCTGGTTTTATGCTTTGCTCCTTTTTTTTTTCCTTTTTATCACTTACAATAGGGCCCCTTTCGTACAAAAAAGTTGCAATACATTTAGCTAATTTTTTGGATGCTACCTTCTGTAATAAAATAAACTTTTCGACTGTATAGTATTTTGTGAACACTTGCTACAGGAATAGAATTACTGAACAGAACTGCTGATTTTTCTATAGCTCTGTTGAGCAAGCACATTGACAATTTAAATAGGGAAAAGTCTATTAGATACTACGATCTTTCTGTAGAAAAGCTTAGGCTAGTCATGGAGGAAGTCATCTTTTATATCCAGTTCTTCAAGTTTTAAACAAGATCATAAATTTCAGCTAAAGGCAAAGCATATTTTTAGAATGAGAAGCTCTTAAAGGGAACATAGAATCATAGAATCGTTAGGGTTGGAAAGGACCTTAAGATCATCTAGTTCCAACCCCCCTGCCATGGGCAGGGACACCTTACGCTAAATCATATCACCCAAGGCCTCGTCCAACCTGCTCTTGAACACTGCCAGGGATGGAGCAACCTCCCTGGGCAACCTCTTCCAGTGCCTCACCGCCCTAACAGGAAAGAATTTCCTTCTTATATCCAACCTAAACTTCCCCTGTTTGGGTTTTAACCCGTTACCCCTTGTCCTGTCACTACAGTCTCTAATGAAGAGTCCCTCTCCAGCATCCCTATAGCCCCCTTCAGATACTGGAAGGCTGCTATGAGGTCTCCACGCAGCCTTCTCTTCTCCAGGCTGAACAGCCCCAACTTCCTCAGCCTGACCTCGTACAGGAGGTGCTCCAGTCCCCTGATCATCCTCATGGCCCTTCTCTGGACTTGTTCCAACAGTTCCATGTCCTTTTTATGTTGAGGACACCAGAACTGCACACAATACTCCAGGTGAGGTCTCACAAGAGCAGAGTAGAGGGGCAGGATCACCTCCTTCGACCTGCTGGTCACGCTATTCTAATTTTCTCTGTAGCAAAAATGTTAGCACTTAATAAATGGGTTTATAGTCATTCTACCTTTTATTTAATGCTGTTTCTAACTCTTAGGGTTTTTCTATATATTTGTTTTTCAGGCAGCAGCGTCTGTCCAAAGTCTTTAATATTGTCTAGACCTTGTACAGCTGGTGGCACAACCAGGCCAGTTGAGCAGAATGTGCACAATGAAGCGCCTCAGGGAATAAATGGAAGTGTGCCAGTCAAGCAATACCCACGTTCAGCTTCAAATCCAAAGCCACAAGGTAAGGAGCTTCAAAGATTTTTGTTAGGGAAGTTGTTCTTCATCTCAGACTTTAAGAGAAATAGAGTGCCTTGAAAGACCTGTATTTGTCAGAAAGAAAATAGTGGGGTAATAGCTTGCTAGTGAAATACAAATGTTCAATAAATGCTTTATAAATCTGTAATTTCTGATAACGTTTTGCTGAGAAAGGTTCTCAGAAGGAAGGTTGGACTTACTAATGTATTACAAGCACACAGGTCTCGTAGTTAGAGATGGGAGAGTGCGTGCAAACCCCTTGCTTGTATTAAACTATTGCCAGAGCTTATCTTTCAAAAGGATTACTGCATGTGAGCTGGAAGGTTTTGGTGCTGTTTTTGAATGTGAGTGTTTGGCAGGCTGCTGGTTGTGATGGGAAAGATATTCAGGGCCTTTGCGGTTCCACTGGAGCTTGAGAAGGGCCCTTCTGTTGGGAGTGTGTGAAAAGATGGGAACTCTGTGCTGTAAAAGCTGACCAATAGTATCTGCAAAGTAGAAGTAGATTTCCCTTTTTTCTGTCCATAAATAGCATCTTCACTTTCAGAAGCTCAGTAGGTCCACCTGCGTGTTGACTTTATGTATCTAAATCTAAAACCATTTTTCATGTGGTCTTCTCAGTAATATTGATGATTCTGCTGAGGTTGACCAAAGTCAGCATATTCTGGAAATCTTGTATTGAAAGCAAGTCTGGACTGATGTTTTTTAGGTATGACATGCAATAGGAATTTCATTCTTCTCAAGAGTTAAAAAAAGAGCAAGGTTATGATCCTGCTCAGTGAACTGGAATGTGACTGATATGACAGAAATTACAATTACTTATAGAAAACTAGGTTACATTTAAATCATGTATAGAAGCTGGAATCATGTAGAGTTATTATGTAATGGATTTAACAATCTGTGTATCACTTACTTGGGAAATGTGTCTTGAAGAATTTTGCATCAGTTCATTTTAGAGTTAAGGGACGAAGAAATTTGTCGGGGTGTCAAGAAAGTTTTGTCCTGGTGTCATGGTTTAAACCCAGGCAGGCAACTTGTTCACTCACTCCCAGTGAGTGGTGCCATGCTGACAACAATCGAGGCCCCCCCACCGGGGCTCTCCCCTTCCCCGCTCCCGGAGGAATGGGGAGGAGGATCGAAAGGGTGCAACTCCTACGGGTTGAGACAAGAATAGTCCAGCAACACAAATCACCACCACTACTATCAACTACAACAATGATAAGAGAAAATAACAAGGGAAGAGAATACGATACCACCGACCAAGAAACGAGTCCCACCCGGAAGCCCATGTCCTTCCGGGTCACTCCCAGTTACCCCCCACCCTGGGCATGACGTGCTGTGGTGTGGAATACCTCCCTGGCTAGCCTGGGTCAGGCACCCCATCTCTGCTTCCTCACAGCCTCCCCTCCTCCCTGGCAGAGCATGAGCCTCACAAAGTCCTTGGTCAGGGTAAACATCACTTAGCAGCAACCGAAAACATCGGCTTCACCAACACTGTTCTCAGGCTGGAAGTCAAAACACAGCACTACACCAGCTACCACAAAGGAAAAACATGACTGCTACTGCTGAACCCAGGTGCAGTGTTTTGACTTTCGGCCTGGGAACAGAGCTGGTAACAATGATGTTTTGGTTTGGCCAAGGACTTTGTAAGCCTCATGCTCTGCCAGGGAGGAGGGGAAGCCAGGAGGAAGCAGAGACAGGACACTGGACCCAAGCTAGCCAAAGAGGTATTCCATACCACAGCACGTCATGCCCAGGATGTAACTGGGAGTTACCCAGAAGGGCTGGGACTGCAGGGTTGGAGGAGGTATAGGTCGGGGCTTGGTTGGGCTGGGGGGGGGGGGGTGAGTTATTGGTTGGCTGGTGGTGAGGTGTTGTATTCTCTTCCCTTGTTATTTCCTTTATCATTATTATTATTGGTGGTAGCAGTAGTGATTTGTGTTATACCTTAGTTACTAAACTGTTCTTATCTCAACCCGTGGGAGTTGCATTCTTTTCGATTCTCCTCTCCGTCCCTCCAGGAGTAGGGGGAGGGAAAGAAGGGGGGAAGTGAGTGAACGAGCTGTCTGGCTGGGTTTAAACCACGACAACTTAGCAAAATAAAGCTGTAGGTTTTTCATTGTTTTTATAGAACTTTTGCCAGTATTGCTCACAAAACTGTTTTTATCAGTCATATGTAAACATTGCTTATCTTTCTGCACTAGTTTTTAGGTCTCTGAAATGTGTTCTCTGCATCTAATTTAACAAGAGAGCATGTATTCTTTCTAAGAAAAATATTTTGGGAATCTGTTAATTGATAAACAGAAATGGGCACTCAATAAAAAGATTTTAAGCCTTTCAAAAACAAAGCCAGCCTACTTATTATAAATATTAGCTGTTAGATAAATTAGGAGTTGGATATTACTGAACCCTATTCATTCAAATAGTTACACAGCTGTTGTGCTTTCCTAGCCATGACTTCTGTGTTTGTCAAAATTGCTTGCTATAAAATGCCACATTGCCAATGTTGTAGTCTAAGAAATGCAGCTGTGTAGATTATATTCAATAATACTGTTATAAATAATATTTTGTCTACTTTGTTGATGAGCCTATGTCTTTCTCCATTTATTTCTGTTAAACATGTACATCATATTGAAGTTATATAGTATATTTTTGGCCTTTTTATTTAGTTGAAGCAAATCAAAACAGAATGAATGAAATAGGCATTTGGGAGACCAAACAATCCAAGCAAATTAAATTATTCTAGTTTATTGGTTTAAGAGCTTTTCATGTACAGGTACAGAAACATTTTTGGTTTATTGTAGCAGAAAGTGTTTTTCTAACTGGTTGTTCTAGTCATGCAAATAACTGTGTCCTTTCATAGTGAGAGGAACCAAGATGACAGACCTGAATTGTAATGCCAGTGTATTTGGTTGTTGAACTAATTGCAAAATGGCCTTCATCTAACCTACCAGAATGTATATAATTAAAATGAGAAATATAAAGATAGTTTTGAGATCTGTTACAAGTGGGGTTACAGCTATTTTTAGTAAATTCAGCTTTAATAGAGAAAATAGAGCTTTAATATAGAGGAAAAATGTCCAAAATCTTGCACTTGAAGTGACCTTGGACTCTGAACCTGTTGTCCGTACTTGGTCTCTGAGAAGTAGTTTTAATATTTGGAAAAGGGGTCACTCAGAGTAGCTAGATCAAGTGAATAACTTTCTGCACAGAATCCAATATAAAATTGTTAATTTTCTTGGTTTTCCCCTGGCATTTCAAGAAGCAAAATAGCTAGCTGTGTGATACACAGTAGAAGAGCAGCATTTGTTCCACTATAATTCCTTCCATCAGTAATATAGTAATTCATGTGTTGGATTTATGTGTTGAATACAGTTTGATACATGTAAATTTGGGACAAATCCTGAAACTGACTGAAGGTCAATAAGGGTGCTAAGCAAAGATACCAGGACCTTGGAGAAAAGCAATTGCATTCTGTACCAGCTGTGAAGGATGAAGTGAATTGTTAGGTAATTTTGAATTTGCCCTTAACAGCAAATACGTGGGCAGCAATCTTAATCCAGCAATAGCAGAATGCATGTAGAGTGACATCTACAAATTGACTAGGTTTTTTTTTCTAATTTCTTCTCTTTGCTGCTCTTTCAACCTCTTGCGTGAGTTTTAGATAATGCCCAATTACTGAATACTGGGCACTGAAACTGTTGTCTGTACCAGGCAGTTTTATTGTAGGATGGATAATACGTTGAAATGTCAACCCTTCTTCAAAGCAGTGAAGTGTCTTGTCAGTTCAAGACTATGCATCAGTTGCTCATTTAAATTTTCCTAATGAGTGCTTAGGAGTACTTGTGAGTCTCCTGCTGAGGCTGAAGAAACTTTTTTGTTTGGGTTGGAAATAATTTTCTACTCCAGAAGATGGCATGGTTTGTGCTACTGTAAAATGGTATGTACATAAAGCATACAGCATACAGACTTCAGCAGTCATTTGTAGCTATTTACTGTGTAACATCAATCCTGTCCTCTTTTCTCAATTATAATACAGCCTGTGGTCTTCAAGGTGTTCAGTGGCCTGGGTCCAGAAAACCTGAAAGGCCTTTTAAAGGTCTGTGATGTAGACTGTACTTCTTTGGCAAATGAAATATCTCCATTTAAAGGTGAATTGAGCTAAAACTGAGAGCTATTTCTAGCTAGATTTCTCCAGTTTCAGTGGCACTTTAAGAAACCTGTAACAATTTCTGTTTTAACCACAAAACTGCTAAATCCCAAATTATATCTCTCAGGAGAAGACAAATGAAAAAAAAGCACATCTGATCATTATTGGTCTTTCTTACTATATTATTGGAAGATACTTGTTCTGATGTGATAAAACCAGTGCGGAAATTTACACCCTAAAGAGGAGATAACTTTTTCTATCTTTCTGCTGAGGTCACTTTGTACTGTTCTTGCAAATGTAAATCTTTGGTATCTATCCAGCTCTGCTCATTTGATCTTCCCAAAGGTGATGAAGCATGGTTCAGCCAGTAGAGTTGTAGCTGCTTACCACAGGAACTTTTAACTGTCTATTTTCATTGAATCAAAGTGCATCAGCATTTGTGACCAGCAGGATTTAAAAGTGTACACGGAGATTGAACATGCTTTTTAGGAGGAGAGATAAATGATCTTTGCTAATATGCTTTGGAGTCAGCAAAGGTGATTTCACCTTTTGAGCCATTTGTACCTCCCATTTCCTTATGTACATGTACAAAGCTGAGTGCATAATTACTTATCACAGCTTAAATCCTGAGTAAGTATTTCGGCTAGTGTTATACAGTAGCACTTACCTGAGTATACTGAGGAGTTTTCTTTAGGCAGACTATGCAGTTTGTATCTCCTAATGAGCTCAAAATTCTACAGTATAGAGACAAGAGTATTTATAGTCTTGAACAGAGCTCTCTATTGTGCAGGGTATTACAATGGGCCAGTCTTTTTTTTTTTTTCTTTCTTTCTTTAAGATCTTTGCTGTGTGCACACTGAAAAATAATCTGATTAAAACAAAGCATTACAGAAGTACACTGAGGCGAGAATTAATAGAATTTATTTTCCATAATCCCTGTTAACAAGGTTGACCTTACAGGAAGGTTTGGTTGGTTGTTTTTTTGTTTGTTTGTTTTTTTTAACTACTGATTCTTTTATTTCCATTGATCTTGTGACTGTTCTTTTTCCATTGCTCTATTTCTAAAGCTTATAGTAGCTACAGCAGCAGCTGATTAGGGGAAATATTGACTGTTAGGTGGTCATAGAGAGTAAAGAAGAAAATATCTCGCATTAATTAATGTTGCTATTTCGTTTGTGGCTCTCCTCTGAAGATACTACAGTGATTTTCGATATACTGGGATTGTGCAAGTTGATCAGAGGTTCCTTGTGTTTGCCATACTATAATGCTGCTAAACTTCCACAGAATGTCCTAGAATTTGATTTTTGTCCCAGTGGATCCAGTATAAAAATAGCTTCCAACTAATTCCTTCTGCTTTATCAGTAGACATTAATTCCCTCCAGTTTAGTAGTCTTAATATATCCTTGTAAAAATATTAACATTTTATGAGATGTACAAAAGAATTGAAAAGATGTATGAGTCTGTTAAATAAGAGAACTCACAGGACCACAGGCTGTACAAAATCCATTGCAAGAGCAAGAAGAGTTTCTACAAGCTAGTGTAGTGCTGGTCAGTAAATCGACCCAGCTTCCCCTTCCACCTCCTTCCTGAGGGAATGGCAGTGTCCATGCTCAATTATGTGTCCTGCTTTTCCCAAGCTTGCTTGCGTCGCCTTTTTCAGCTGTCCTATCATCTTTGTCAGCATAGCAAGCTATTCAGCACTTGGACAATTATCTGATGCTTGTTGGCCTAATTCTGCCAGACTTTCTCAGAACTCCCTGAGAAGAAGAAATACAGGGAAAGCTGCTCCACTGCAGTGCAGCTGCAGCTGAGCAAATGTATGAGGCTTCTCAGAAGGGGCTTTAGTTACTATAGAAGCTCAAGCAGTTATACAGTTAAATATTCTGCTTGTTTTATGCATTGTAACTATTTGAAAATTGCATTCTTGTAAGTCATCCTTTCTGCACTGCATCTTCCCCCAAACTTGCTTTTTTGCTTGTGTTAAATATAAGATCAAGCTTAAAAGAACCAAAGACATACACAGTAAAAGCATCTGATCTACAGTAGTTCTCTTCCTTCTCCCTCTGATAGTTTCATGTATCAGCATTGTAGTTGATATGGTTGGAGTCCAAAGCTTTTTGTAGTACATTCATTTCTTGATAGAGTCCCACATGGTACTTTTCAGACCACAGCAATCACTACAGTCCTACTTATGTGCAATTAGGTTATTGAAAGCACAGATAAATATTACCTTCTATAAATTAATGCAAGCTAGAGATGGAAAGTTGTCTTTAATCATGTGTTCCTTCAAGTTTATCACAGTCTGTGATAGTATATTTGCAAGAATTTTTGAACAGCATTTTCAGATACCAGTTGATGGGATTTTAAGATAATTTCTGTGGCGCACAGGTTTTCCAGGTCAGTAAGCTAAACTAGAGCCAGCGATGTGAGGAATATGGGTGACTTTCACATCCATTTATTGGGCATGCTGTATTAGTATTTACTTTTGTGCAACACACGAGTTGCACGAGAGTGATTCCTACTGCCAATTCCTGTCCTCTTTCGCTTCATGTTTGCTCCCTGGCAGGTCTGTATTCCAGTTCTGTGCCCCTCAGTTCAAGAAGGACAGGGACCTGCTGGAGAGAGTCCAGCGCAGGGCAACTAAGATGATGAAGGGAGTGGAGCATCTCCCTTATGAGGAAAGACTGAGGGAGCTGGGTCTCTATAGTTTAGAGAGGAGGAGACTGAGGGGTGACCTTATAAGTGTCATATAAAGGGGGAGTGTCACGAGGGTGGAGCCAGGCTCTACTCAGTGGCAAACAATGATAGGACAAGGGGTAATGGGTACAAACTGGAACACAAGAGGTTCCACTTAAACTTGAGAAGAAACTTCTTCTCAGTGAGGGTGACGGAACACTGGAACAGGCTGCCCAGGGAGGTTGTGGAGTCTCCTTCCCTGGAGACATTCAAAACCCTCCTGGACACATTCCTGTGTAACCTTATCTAGGTGTTCCTGCTCTGGCAGGGGGATTGGACTAGATGATCTTTCGAGGTCCCTTCCAATCTCTAGCATACTGTGACTGTGACTGTGTAGTTGCTGGATGGACAGATCCTGTGGCACACTGGACTGTGGTACCTGTGGAGAGGTGGCCAAGCCGCAACTCCTGCTAATTTATGCCTGTCTTTTATTAAAGGGCAGATAGAGTCTTTCTTTTCAATTTCAGATCAAATGCTTTCACTTCTCCCCACAATATGCATTGGGAGTTTGTGTGGGAATGAACGAAGTTGTATTCTTGGGAATTAAGGAACTTTCCATTAAATTTCTCTTTTTTGATGAATCCAGAGGTGTAGTGCTCTGATAATGTAACACATCCAGGCCCATTTTGTGAAGTGCTTTTGCTGCCCACTGATGCTGCAGAGTTGCTTCAGGGATAAAAGTTAAAGATCCCCAGCACTTGTGATTCCAGTTGCTTTATGTGTCACCTTTTCTTTCATGCTGCAGTCACTGCTGTATTAAACAGTGGCTGATCATTAATGATCTAATTAGAAGGACTTATGTTAGGGATGGGGAAAAAAAAGAAGAAAAAAACATATTTTCAGGGGGGCAGGTTTTCAGGAATATAAGCAGACAAAGGTTCATTGAATAAAGAAAGCTCAAAGTCAAAGGCAAGTACCTTTTCCACTGACTTATTAATGAGGTCATGAGGGAGAAGATAGAGAAAGAAAGCACAAGAGTTTTGAGGCGGCAATTTAAATCTCTCTCTTGAGCTCCACAGCACAACTAGATCCTTTGATTATGCTTAATTGGTTTTTATGATAAAACCTGCTTTTATGGAGGCCATATGTGGGTTTGCTGCAGTACATTATAAAAAACACTAAACACAAAAATTCCACTGAATTTTCTAGCTTGTTAAGGTAGCATATGGTTCGTCTTTTATCCAAGAAATATAAGATGATGCCTGATACCAGACAGAGCATGAAAACCCTATATGAAGTCCCTGTATTCATAAAGCAACTCTCCAAGGTTAAATAAAGCCAAGGCCATCTTTTCTCCATTACTGTTGTATGTTCTTATGTAGAAACCTCCTATGTGTTCTGACAGTTCAAAGGCACAGTTCATGAGTTATTGATTATTGTTGTTGTTTGCAGTGCCTCCAAAGCCAGTTCATCTGCAGAAGGTGTCACCTGTTACATACCAAACCCCTAGGCATAAAGCTTTATCAAATCAGAAACCGAGAATGGAGGAAGAGACGCCCGCTGCTGTTTCTGGTGTCACAAAGGAAAAGTCCAGTAAAGTATCAGATCTCATCAACCGTTTTGAGGGAGGCAGGTATGTGATGGAATTTGAATTGGTTTGTTGCTCTTTTGTGTGTAGACTTCCTCGCTTAAACCTGTGAGGAAGAGCATTGATACTGTGATAGTGCTCAAATGCACCCCTGCCAGAGGAGTTGATGGCAAAACTGCATGTGTTTTGAAATGATGTGAGCCAGTTGTGTATTTGGCCTGTACAAGGTGTGCTTTTTCATAAGGGGATAGTATTCTAGTCTTAATTTTTCTTTAAAATAAATCCAAAACCAAAAACCAAACCAACCCCTCCCCAAAAACAAAACAAAACAAAACCCACCAAAACCTAAGCAACAAACAAACAAAGAACTCCACATGAACTAACTTGGGGCATTTTTTAAAACATCCTGAAAAGTGTCATCAATTTGAAATAACTGCTGGTTTTAGAATGAAACATTGGAGCTAATCTTAAATTGTTTTATTCTTGCAGAAAAAAAATTTACTTTTAGAAGTAAACAGAAAAACCTGAAATCCAGATGTTTTCTTTTATACTATCTCAACCTCTTGAGATCATTTATGTGAAGAGGCTGAGCTGTACAAGTTATTCGCATTGATGTGGCATACGTTGTCTAAACTGCTTTGTAGTACTTGGTGATTTTGGTGGGTTAGCTTGGTGTTCTTGGATTTTGACACCGCCTCTTGCAGGAAACATTTGAAGCTTTGGGAAACGAGCCACAGGGAGCTCAGCTTTCACAAAATAGTGTTACTTGTGTGTCTTTAATTAGCTGTATGTGACAAGCATTAAAAGCAACTGAAGTTTCTAATATACCCGCTCTGTATAAAGAGGGCGACTTTCCAGAAAGCCCACGACAGAGGAACAGCTCAAGAAACAGTCCAGTGACAGTTGAGCCTTGCAGGTCTTGGACTTGGCTTTCTCGTGTTTCCTCAGGATACTGATGTTCTGACAGGATGGCCCCTATGGGAATGAATGAATGATGTGTAGCAGAGCACGTCCTTCTAAGGAGCTAGAGTGTTAAGGCTTTCATTGGAAGAATTCCCCTCCTCGCAACCCCCTTCCACCAGACGGGGGAAATTTAATCCTTTATACAGAAGAAACTGAGCATTGCAAAAATACGTTTGTCTAGTGGAATAGAAATAATTTCAGAGCTTCATCTGGAAGAAACTTCTGTTGTTAATCAGGGGCTTAATTGCACTCTGTCATGTCAGCTGCTCAAATATGGGAAAAAGAAATTACTGCGGCACCTGAGGTCCTGTGAATTCTAGCACGGGTCTCTAGTCCTGTTACCACTTTGTTTCCTAGTTTTCCTCCAAAGCATCACATAACTCTTTTTAGCAATGTAGAATCCTTAGAATTTAGAACCAGTGAGCACTGCATTTCTTCCTCTTGACGTGCTTGCTGAGTTGTATGGGAACTTCTTCAGTATGGTGCAATTAAAGGAAGTGATAAAGAAAGCAAGGAAAACTTCCTTATTTATAGACTTTTACAAGTAGGGACGTTTTGTTTTAGGGAGTAAGGGAAGCTGAACTGCTTTTTGGCTAACATCATCCATTAAGTACATCCAGTCATATGTGTCCAGTGATTAAATTCTCCTCAACTCTGCGATCCCTGCTTATGAGAAACTTCCACAGTTGGCGTGCTGAGTTCTGGAATATCCTGCTGTGGCTGTGGAAGCAATTCCTGTTTTTCAAATGAGCTCAGCTCACAAAATGTGTCTTCCGTGAAGGTGAACTTCACTTTAAATAATTGGTCCTCAAATGACTAGACAGCATGTTCATGAACAGCAAACTGATTGTCAGTTATGATAACTTATCGTCATTGGTCTGTGTAGCCCATAAACGTGCAGGTATGTCAGAAAGTTAATTAAACCTCTTTGCTGTGTGCAGGCAGTAGAATTAATTTACATTTTTCAATCTTGGAGTTAAGCTTATTTTTTTAAGAGGCATGATCTTTACATAACTAAAGGGAAGCTGATCTAATTTTTTTTCTTATATGGCAGAAGCAGATGAACCTGGTGTAAGATATTTTTTGAGCTCTGAATATGGATATATAGAATATGCTTTATAATATTTGTCATAACTGTCCTATAAGGAGTAAACAGAGTTTATAAGCAGTCTTCATCTTTTCAAAGATAAGTGGTCCATACTAGGAAAAATATGATAGAGGTCAGTCATGCTATTGTTTTGCAAGTTGAATATGGCTTGTTAAATGTACTTAATGCAAAAATGTATGGGTTTTGTTTTGATTCCAATGATTTTCATTTTTTTTATTTATAATTATAATGAAGGCAGGCACTTTTACAGAGTAGGCTACCACTTACAGTGGCCTAAAATTCAAAATCTCAAAAATAAATCAAGAAATAGGTGGTTAAAGGTATGGACAAGGGATAAAGTAGATTTAGAGTGGAGTTAAAATATGGAAGTGAAAAAAAAAAAAAACCAGGAAAGATGCAGTAAGATGAAAGGACAGTGCTAAATAAGGAAACTGGTGGAAGAAATGGGTAAGAATTCAAAGCTCTTCCTGTAATATGCTGAACTAAGGAAAGGGATACTAAATGTTCTTGGACGTTTTTCATGCATTTTGTGTAATTAAAGGGTAATTAGGGAACAGGCTGCTTGTTAATTTAAGCATTGGACTGAGACTTGAGAGACTGTGAGTCTTTCTACATTTCTGCCAATAATCTTCTGGGATGCCTTGCTTCATGTCTCAGTGCCTCAGTTCCCTTGTCTGTCACATGAAGCTGATCTTAGTGCCCTCCATTTTACAAAGGAGATTCAAGACATATGAGGATTGACAGTGAATTGATATGGATGGTACTCTGAATTTCCAGTGAGAAATGCATGTTTGTGCGTGTGTGTTAATGGAATAAGGCAGTTTCAGTCTTGATAGCCTGAACTTCGTAATATTAACACAGAAAAAAGGGTTTGGGAGGATTTCGTTATGTGGTGCACCTCTCATAGTCCCAATACCAAGGATTTTCTGTAACGCCATGTTTATCTTTTCTCTCATCTGTTTTATTTTTTGGTGTTTTTAGCTCATTAAATCCTAGTGATATGAAGAAAGATTCCTCTGTTCTCCACATTTCTAAATCTCAAGGAAGATATGAGTTAACACCAGCACCTCAGCCAAAACTCCCACTTCAAAAACAAAAGCACCCACTACAAAAACAGGGAAATGGTAATACTGACAAAACTCAGGTTGCAGAAATACACACAGCCAATGGAGTAGTAGCACAAGACCAGATAGAAGATGACGACAGGAGGATACCAGATCATGGCTCCGCTGTGACCACCCCGGTTCCAGATAATGCTATCAACAGCAGCTTGATAAATGGGGAAAGCAAAAGTACTTCCAGAGAGTCACTGCAAAGTCTAACTGCCTGTGAAGGACAGATGCTTAACAGCTGCTACAGGACTCCAAGCAGTGACACACTGCTCCCATCTGAAAATGAAATTCTAGAAATTAATACGAACATGAAGGAAGAACCAACTGAGGAAATCAGTAAGCAAGATCAACCTGTAGAAACAAAGGTAACAAGAAAAAAACCTTTTGTTCTTGCTGTATTACTACTGTATTTTCTCTAGGTTTTTATTTACAAAAAATAAGCTTCCAAGAGCAAGTCAGAAAGCTGAAAATCTTTTGGTTATTTTTCCTCTGAATAAAAAGACAGGAAATAAAAGTTTTATTTGTCTTCCCCATTAGTTATCTGAGGTTTTTAAAAAAGGTCAAACTGAAATAGGTGTACATGTTTATCACTATGCTTCAGCTGTGCCAGACTACAAGGGACACGTTAATGGTGTCTATAAGCCAAAATTCCATGTGTAGTAAACTGCAGTGAGAGGGCTTAGGCAGAACTACTGTATGAATCCTTAACCTAGGGTAGTTGTCAAGTAAAAGCTGAAAAGGCAGTGGCAGTGTGTTCAGTATCAGAGAGACACAAGGTTCATAATATAACAATGATATGCCTTGTTGGTAAGGAGAACATACATCATGATGAATTTCAGCTTACTTGTAAGGAAGGTTTTAAATAATTAAGGGAAATAAGTGGGTGGAAGAAAATCTGTCTTGGGAAATTAATTGCTGAAAAATTGTGCATATTTCCACTTCTGAAAGTTTGATTAAGCAGTTTGTCTTCTCATACTGAAACATCGGTGGCTGGTGAACATCATTAACAGTCCTGGTCCATCTGTGTCCTGTGTAAGTCATGACAGGAAGGCATTACTGAGCTGGACCCTTCTGGCTTCCCCTTCACCTGAGAGCCAAATAGCTGAGTGCTGATAAAGTTCATCTCTGCTTGTCATTAACCTGCATCAGTTAACTACCAATCTCTCCAAGCCCTTGAGTTTGGTTAGCTAGGGGTCACATACCTACAATTTGAGGATAATTTCTCTCTGTGGGAAAGGTGGACCTCAGATTGTCACGTGTTATAGGGTAAAGAATCCTAGAAATTGACAAGAAGGTGATGGATTGTGTGGGTTTTCTTGTTTGTTTTAGGGGTTGATAATGAACGAATGTTATGATTCCCACCTAAAAATAAGACTGGTCCAAGTCCAAGGCAAGTCCAAATCCAAGACAAGTCCAAGGCACTTTTAACCTGCCATATCTCTCATGTTTCTGTCTCCTGTTTGGTAATGCCTGTTTCCCCTCTCCATGCCTAAAAGGCATGATGAATGCTCTGTGAGCAATGATGTTAAGCTTGAATCCAAGTCACACAGTAAGGGATTGGCAGTATTTTCAGGAAAAAGCAGAAACGGGAGGCAGTCCTGTTGTCAAGTGCAGGAAGGAACTGGGGAAATGCTAATGGCAGCAATCTCTTCAAAATCTGTCTTTGAGCTGCTGGGATCAGCATATGTGATCTGTCCTATACTGACCAAGAATAAAATTGTGAGGTGTGACTGCTACTAGATGTATTGTTTGCTGGTGCTTAAAGGGTAAAAAACCCAAACAATCCAAACCCATGCAGGAAGACTCTTAAGTCAGCATTGATGGAGAGCTGAATCTGTAAAACTGAACTGGGTCACAGCAGTATTTCCTGAGATACAAGCTTACTTGTGATACAAGGACATCCCCTTTAATCTAGTGAGATGAAGAAGCGGGACTACCACAGACTGATCTAAGGGACACGCTTTACAAAATGGAGCACTGATTTAGTTTGAATTAATGCAACCTATAATTTGAAATCAGCCCGCTGGAGGTCTAAGTATCTGCTGTCATGCTGTCTGTAATAGGACGAAGGTAAAGAGGAACAGGAAAAGTTTGCTAAAGCTTTAAGCTGTTTGTGCATCCAAGCAGGAATATGGAAGAAGTAGAAGCATTAGACAGTCTGTGATTTTGCTAAGCACCCACTTTTTCTAAAGTAAAAGAATCTTAAAACTGGGATGCGGTCCAGCTGAAGTTGCTCTGCACAGACTAACAGCACTCTTCTGACCTGTTTAATTAAGTACGTGTTGGTACAGTTAAGTAAAAGCAATAGAAGCAGATGCATGTGAGTCATAGACAAACTTTAAATTATGCATCTTATATATATATATATATATATATATATATATATATATTGATACTAATGTGAAGCATCTTGTCTCTTGCATGCCATATATATCCTAATTCAGGGAAGAGGAAAAAAAGTGGTGCTATATCTTTGTAAGCACATACGCATACAGGAGGAGTAAACTAAGTCCACTGTTGGAAATGGTGAATTAAATTGGGGAATGGTGCGAAACCAGAGCAAAAAGTACTTTTTAGACTTGGAAAAGAAAGCTTATTTTGAAATAGTGTTGCTCTTACAACTATTTCCCCCCATCCGCTTATCACTGTAGATCTGACTAAAGTCAGATTATTGCAGGATCTGGAAAAGTTGAGACAAAATGTCTTAAATTTGGCAGTGTTCTGAAACATTTTACCTAAATGACCAGAACATGTTTTCAAATTATTTACTGAATTAATTTGAAAGTCACAAACCACCAGTATCACAAGTGAAAAGACAATTAGAAGTAAAAAGTTTCCTGCCTCACAGCAGAAGCACCTTCTGTCATAAAATTTGTTCCACTGAAAATGCGGAGGCTGACTAGTATGAGAACATCCCAGTCAGTTAACTTCCTGAGTAACGTCTTGTGAGAAATCTGCTGCTAGAGCTAGCTGAAGACAAGCAGACAACTGCTTCAATGTTTGTTGTGAGACTGGTAGAAAACGGGGATATAGACTGCAGGCATGCCACAGATGGAGAAGAATCCATTACATATCTTTAGTGAAGTCCTTGCTTGTTTTATTTCAATGGCAATGTTGTGGGCTCTGATATTTCAGATGCAAAACCTGATGGAGGTGGTATATTTCTAAAGGTAAGGTCAAGTTCTGATTAAAATAGGTTGAAAAATATAGTGGTTTCCTTGATTTCAGAAGCTGAGGACTCGAGAGATTAAAGGAGATCTTAAATTCTCCTCGATATTTTCATTTATATTCCTAATACTTAGGGAAGAAACCTGCTGTTTGGGTCATGAAGCAGCTGTGAACATGAATGCCATTCAGGACATGAATGGTTTTAGAAAAGGAAAAATTCACTATGTTACTTCTGACCAAACTCAGCATTATAAACAAACAAGCACAGCGTAGATTGAATGATATTTGTTCATACTCTACATCTCTCATTCTGTGTTGCTTAACATATTAGTGCAAAGCCCTTGGGGCAAGGGCTACACCTAAATAGGGTTGAATCATATATAACATCGCTATCATGTCAGTAGGTATTGTTTTCTTGGTAGGAGACAGCTCCTACCAAGGTTTGAACAATAAGTTATGGCTATATTGGAATTGAGGTTTATGTAAAGGTTGCTTTACATTAGCATAATTTTTGCAACTTTAGGACAATGGAAAAAACAATGTTTGGAAATATGAACACGGGTACAAACAGTTCATACTCTCAGCAGCATTTTTCATATAACTTCTTCATTTCAGAGTTCCAAGACCAATTTAAGTAAAAATTGCTTGCTGGAATTTCTGAAACATCCATGGAAATGTAATGATTTTAAGGACATGCAATTTCATACAGAATACATAACTAGGCCCAGGTGAAATACTTCTTGTAAGCATCCATATAGAGGTACAAGTTTGCAGTCCTGCCTCTGATGTACCTACTGCTATCTCACTTCTGATATTTTGATCCACAGTTAAAATCATATACCTCTAATCTGAGCATTCTCTATGTAGCATAATAGCCATTTCTCTTTGGCTTATACATTGGGTTGCCATGTGTTACAGATTGTCACGGAAGTTTGAAATGTTCCCTGAAATCATTGAGAAGTTTTGATGAAGTGATAGAGGATGTGTCCATGTGTACCTTGTAGTTACTATAGTTACTTGCCTCAGTATTTTTTGTTAGAAGCAAGGTAACCAATATACCAATATACTAAAAGTATAAAGAAATCGTAGGAAATAGAAAACTTTCCAGAAAATATGTTTGCATATCTTTCATTTTGATTACTGTGCTTGTGAAGAGAAGTGTGGATTTATGGTTATATCCCATGAAAATAAAGCTTAACTTGTAACTTGAGTATTAAAATTCCCTTTTGCTATTAATTATTAGATTTGACACAGTTGTTCTTTAGGGAAGCATTGAAGTTCTCAAAAGCTGAATACTAACTTCATGTTTTCCATGTTTTTTAAATATTTTTTTCGTTCCTCCGTTATCTCTACAAGGTTTTTCAAGGCTGTTTTGTTGAACAGCTCTAATAACGAATGGCTCTGTCATTCTCACTGTCACAAATATCATTCAGGATTTATCTCCAAATGATGCTGTAAAGTTGCTACTTCTGCTTGGAACAGCCAAATTCAGATCTGCAAAAGTTGAGCCTCTTCTTGGAGTTTGCCTGTCCTGAGCCCATAGTTTTCTCCTGCATGCCTGCTTCAAGGAGGGCTGGGTGGGCAGTTGTGGGTAAAGGTGCAGCATAACGTGGTGTGTGCTGCAGCAGAGCTGGGATGGCTGCAGATGAGTTCTCTGAAAGCAGGCAAAAAAGCATATGTATATATACATATTATATATACACACATGCGCGTGTATGCTAGCTGCAGCACTTGTTTTGAGCAGCTGGTGGGTTTTTCCACCAAATGTGCTGTACTGTGTAGCATGGCGCTCCAGGACCTGTGTGCCCACTCATGCATCTGGTCCCAGTTCACCCCATGTGCTCAGGACAAGCAGGTGCCACTTCATCAGGAAAAGCTCCGCAGGAGATGAATGCCACTAATAATAGCAAAATAGCCTGGGTTGTGTTGTTTTCAAGCTGGACTGACCTTGTGGACACCAGGTGCTTTTCTATAGATAGGATACTAGAGACACTGAAGTTGAGTGAATGACTAGGGAGGAGGTTGGAGCTAGTAGCAGAAAAGCGAGCTGGGAGTTCATGTAACGTGGGCAAATCTTGAGATGGTGGAGTGGAAAACTGAGGACTTTCTTAAAATAGAAGTGGCAATACAGCTTTGTGTTATTTTTGCACTGATCTAACCCTGTAGGTGGGTGTTCTTATGCTGGAATAAGAACATGAGACTGCGATTAAAAGATACATCATCTGTGGTGTGTATTTTTTGCCCACGTAAAAGGTTCTTGTGTCAGATAGCACATTTGATGTAGAGAGAAAGCTGCGGTTCAAGAGTTAGGAAGATGCAAAATGTTGATACTGAGAGGGATGGGAAAGATGGGGTCAGAGAGTACTGGGAGAGTAAAACGGATTTTTCTGAGTTAGGAGTGAGGATTAAAATGTTTTTTTTTTCTAACTGCTCATTTTATGTGATAGCTTTGAGCCTGTTATGTGTCATTTTTTTCCCCCTCTTAATTAGTTCAAGTGATCTTCTGAAAATTGCAGATTGATTCTATAGCAGTGCTTCAGGGAGCCAAGGAACCAGTAGCCCCCATGGTTTTTTGTGCCTCTAGTCCACATATGAGATCCCTTGTAAATGGCTGCACTAAACAGCGTGCTGTAGCCATTAATAGCTAATTCTCCAGCTCCCTGCAATGTCTCTTGACAGCACTTAAAATGCTGTTCTGTACGTTACTGTGGTTGCTGTGCTGATTTAAACAGATTTAATGAACAGCTTTGAAGTTACTGTTGAAAGCCTGTATTTAGGGAGCAGGCTTGCTATGTAACAGTGTGACTGTTAATACTGAAGATTAGAATTGAAATGTGTTCAGATTTGAAATACTTACTGAATACTGAAAAAGGGGAAAAAAAACCCACTGAAGTCCTTAAATGAAAAGACTGTACTTTAGTATTCAGTATTCTGCAACCCACCCTTACAAATGTACTTGCAAATGTTTATCATACTCTTGTGGAAAGCAGTGTGCAGTTTGAAATCAGAAATGATTCTCTCAAGCTCTCCTCTCTATTTTTTTAATGGAGTCTTTCCATGGTTTGTCTGTTAAGTTGCCACTTTTCCATAAGCACTGTGTTAAGACTGCTGTTTACTTAGGAAAAGACTCGGATGTTGTTAGATGTGAACACTTCTAAATCTGGAAGAAAAAATCTTGTCATGGAAGTGTGGTTTTGTTGAATTTGACACTTGTGAGCCTGAGGCATTTCTGTAATGTTTTAATATCGTAGAAGGCTGTGCTTTCATTGGTTTGTTGTTTTTTTTTTTGAAGTAACTTCTCACAGCAACTCACAGTTTTTTATTCAGACATGTTTAGTTTAATATTGAAATTTGAATGAACATTTTAAGTTTCCATTCAACAGAAGAATCAAAAACGTATTTAGTGGAATGAAAGACTTTAAAGTGAAAACTTTCCCTAAGATGAAGTGACTTCCATAAAGACAGAGCGAAGGAGCCCTCTAATTGCAGTCAACAATTAATCAGCAGTGAGTGTATCGATGAACACAAAACATTTTTGCATGGTATTTTTCAATAATTCTGTCATACAAAGAACATGCAGTTCGAATAACTTTTCAAATGGGGGTGGGAGTGAATGCCAACTGATCCCATCTGTTCCCTCTTACTTAGCAAATCAGTTCTTCCAGCTCTTAAAGGTCAGGTGTACTCGATTACTAGGATATGAACTGATCTGCTGAGTGGTGCTTTTGCAAAGAGCCCTGTGAAAACAGGGAAATATGAAAAGTTTTAGGCTTTGAATTTTGCTCTGCTCTTTGACTGTTTTTTACCTGTCTCTGACTTCTGTATTTATTGATTAAACTGCTGAAAAGTTTGTATTTTTTCAAAGTGAGGTGTCTATTACTAAATGTGAAAGTTGGATTTCAATTGTTCTTTGGACTGTAAGGTAACCATATGTCTTTTCAAACTTTTTAAATAATAAATTACATTTCCTCCAGTATTCTGAGAGCTCTTCTTATTTTCCTCCAGGAGACAGATGAGCAAAAACGTCATAAAATTGCCAGTGAACTTCTGCAAACAGAAAAAGCCTATGTCAGCCGACTTGACCTCCTAGATGGGGTATGTTTTTCTTCAATTTGTGTTTATTATCTTGCCTTGAATTCATTTGAATGGCTATGTATAAGTGTGTATTTAAATTACATAAAAGGTGGCATGTTTTTCATGTTTTGCTGACTTTTTCGGTCAGTCATTTGCTCCTGCCCCATAACTTTGCCTATGTTTCTCTTTGAAAAATGTAGTGTTCTTAAAAGCATTTGGATTTTGTGGATATGAATGCAGTATGTTCTGTGTGTATAGATGTCACTATAAGCAATAGTAGAGCATACCAATAGCCCTTCCAACACAGGATGGATGACCATTTCTTGGCTTCTGGTGAAATAGAGAAGGGTATCATTTTATAATACTGAAATAACCCACCCACTAAAAACTTACTAAATCTTTCAAACTTGAGCCATCCAATCAGAGTTTTTCTTTAGTGCCCAAGAACCTGGGAAGATGCCCATACTACACTATTTTCCCACTATACATTTAGGCTATATCTCATTGAAGTGAACAGAAATTACTTTGCAAGAAAATTCGTGCAAGGAAAGGGTTGAATTTTTTGTGCTCTGTAGAATAAAATTGATATTTCTTAAACAAGAAAGTTTGTAGGTTTTCAGTATTTTCCTTTTAAAGTCTTTACTTCTTCACATAACACATCAGTTTTACCTGGATGCCTGTAACTTTGCATTGTCTTACTCCATGATATTTTTCTCAGACATTGCTGTTTAAATTTCTCAGGTATAACACCTAAGTCTTGTAAAAATGGTTGATGGAAAGTAAAAAGTCTCAACTGATAGAATAATTGTTCAGACTGCTTGGGGATGTAAATAACTGTCCTCATGAAAGTGGATTTACCTAGCATGGTAAATACTAGGGTAGATATATGGTGTGTTTGAAAAGACAAAGTATTGCAGAAAAAGTGCTCTGATTTAGAGAAGTTTAAAAATAAAAAGGAAAATTTTTACTTAATTCATAGGTTTTTTTCTGATAGGTAATGTACAGTTATTTTCCCCAGTGTGATCATAAGTGCATCACTCCTATGCCTGTTTTCCAAATATTAACTGGACAGAGTTCTGAAACCGCTGAACTGCTGCTAATAAGGGGAAACCAGGAAACTTGGAAATAATTGTTATGTTTCTAAACTTGCTTAAAAAGTTATGTAACCCTTATGGTCTTCAAAGTAACTTGTCAAAATTAACTAACTGTCCTCTTGGAGGTGTAGCATGGCAAGTATGTTTTAAAAGATATGTAAAAGCATATGGATTTTTTCTTTTAAGGTACTTCTGCTGTCTCAATTGGGATGATCAAATTCCTGTCTTCAGACTCTTCTTTCCCTAGCCCTTACCCAAACTCCTGAAGCTCTCTCTAGGGAGATGCAGTCTATTCAAGCATGGGAGAGGGAGGTAAAAGGACCAGAGCTCGCCATAAGCACTGTTTTATGTGCATGTTAACAGCTGCACATCTCTAGACATTTTGTAGCTGCATCTAGTCAGGTAGAGCCCACTGATGAGGAAAGAATGTCTTTTTTTAAAAGAGACTGTAATAGAATCCAATCAGAACATGACTCCTTTGATGCTTTAGATGGTGTGTGAAGACTGCTCATAGTCTGCAATTCGATTTCAAAAGGATGAGGAGATACATCATATAAGGAGAGTGGCTGTACTAATGGTGATCAGAGATCATGCTAATTGAAAAGAAAGCAAAGATGGAAAATACAACTAGAAAACTGGGAAAGCTGAGATGATCTAGCTGTTAAAACAGACAAGATGCCTGGAGCTGATCCAGAATGGCACTACTTCAGTTTGTCTTTCCTTAGGTCTGCTCTGCCTACAGAGCTTTCCTGGCTCACAAGAAAAAAAATGTGTGGTGTAAGGGGAGAAGCTTTTACTTTCGGTGATGGAAAAACAATAAATGAGTTTGTCATTACCTGTCTATATTATTGAAATATTAATCTTGTTTACAGTTGGAATAAAATGGGTGAATAAGTGGTCTTTCACTGATTAAAGATAATAGGCTGATATGTTTGGGGCTCTCTTTTTGTATTGCAGGTATTCTATTCCAGGCTCCTCGAGGAAGCCAACAGAGGTTCATTTCCAGCTGAAGTGATTAACAAAATCTTTTCTAACATTTCATCGATAAATGCCTTCCACAGTAAATTCTTACTTCCAGAACTCGAGAAAAGAATGCAAGAATGGTAAGAGGCAATTCACTGGTTAATAGACTACTAAAACTGTGTCTGTAGAAACTCTGTCACAGGATTGAGATAGGGAAGGTACCTTCATAATTAAGTGCTCCAAGCCCAGGAAGTACTGTGGGTAGGAGGACGTCTGCTCTTCCACTCTTCGTTATGATCTGACTCAGTAGAGGACTTGCATCATTTGCTCAAAATAAAGGGCATGTAGCTCACTGAAGCCAGTAAGATTACTCATGATTAAATGCCTTGATGAATTAGGGGTTCAGGCTGAAATTGTGTGCTACCTGGTGAACTTACTGCACAGAATACAAAATTGAGATAAATAACGTCTTTTGTGCTATGCTTATAGCACAGTAACCTTTGTCATTACCACTTTCTGCAATAAGGATAAGAGATACATTCTTATTTTTCTGTGTTTTGGTTTCCTGTTTGGAATAAAAATCCATGTCAGGTATATCTTGGGGCCATTTCTCCCCTAGCTTTTCTTGACTTCTATTTGGAGCAAGCAAGAAGGATAGCCAAGGTGTAAATATACTCTGCAACGGTCATTTAAAGATACTGTAATATCTTTATCCTTGGTATATGTGATTCTGGAGATACTAAAATATAGCTACATGCTTTTGGTCTCTATGTAAGTGTGGAAAAAAAAAAGTCCCAAACCACTGCTGCTTCCCTACCTTATTTGGGAAAGGGGTCACCTCATTAAACAACCAACCAACCAGAAAAAAACTACAAATATTGCTTCATCCAATTGTTTCACCTCAGAACCTGTTTGGGTCCTGTATTCCATTTTATCTAGGGTTTATTATGAGGAATTAAAGTGTTCATTTATATATAATTTGCAGTTACACTTTCATATAACTCCTTAATTGTCAAAAATCACACTTAAAAATTGAGAAATACAGCTCCTAAACCACACAGTGGTGCTTTAGACAATGGCTGTGTGTCTCCTGACTCTGTAGGATTATTTCCTGTTTAAAATAATGATTCTTGAAAATAGAATAGTTACCATCCACAAACATGATAGCCCTGTATAGCTGACAGTGCAAGAAAGTAAATAAAACGTAAGCTTCGTGAGATACAGGAAGGCTGACACCTTACCTTATGTTCCTTGCAAAATGCGCATGTAAGGTAACCTCACCCTTTCCTTCTAATCAACTGAGAAAAGTCTGTTAGGGAATATGAATACTGAGATTAAAATAGAGTGCATATTCATGAGAAGTGGAGTTTAACTTACTGTAATGATGTTTACTAATCAACTTATGCTACATTATGTGAGTGCTGTATATATTTGAAATGAAATTTGTGATTTTAAAATTTTGCTCTAGATACCTTGTAGAGCACAGAAGATGGGTTGCACTATCTTAAGTATATGCAAAATTCTAAATTGCTGACTAATACTGTGTGTGTAATACTGTGTTTCAAGAGTTGAAAAGTGCTTTTGCAGATGTGCTTTAACTACTATTTGTGCAAAACTAATAAATTGCATCATATAGATACTATCTTTCCACATAGCTTGGAAGCAACCTCTGTGATGTACCTGAGACAGCCTGTTTAAATGCCCATAAAACATTATGCTTCTGGGAGGAGTTAGAAGAAAGGGTGCAGTTGAAAAGAATTATTTCTGATCATTGCTGAAAGAAAAAATTGATGGAAAGATAACTTTCCCTCTGCATCACCAGTCTATGAACTGTCTGGCACAACAACTTCTGCCAGATAGTGCATTTTCCTCAGCAGTTCCCCTTAATTAGACATAAAACATACTTAAACATGTTCTGCTGGTAGGTTTATGCAGCACTTCTATTATTCTTTAGCTTCCATTAAAAGTAGTTGAATAAAAATTTCTGACACTTTCCCAGAGTTGGGGTTTGGTTTAAAAATTGGATTCAAAAACATACGCTTTTGCAACTGGGAAAGTAGATCAGAAGCAAATTCTTCTTTCTTAGAAGAAATGGAAGTGTGAATCTAAGCTTTTTGGGTAGAAATAAGATTGTCTGGTAGCTGCATTTTGAATGAGTTGAGCAACAGCTGGAGCCAAATATCTTTTACAATATATGGCTTGAAAACACTGGAAGCAGCCTTGTTGTAACATATTTCCCATGGAAAAAGCATAACAGAGCATAACAGTGATCCCACATCAAACAAAATAGCTATCTAACTCTGTCTTGTGTACTAGAGGATGACCGAGAGCAGGTATCTGGGGAGGAATATAAGAACACAGCATGATAGCCTCAGGGTGGGGGTGTGAAGAAATTATTTCACTCTTTCAGCACAAAGTTTTGGTATGTGCAGCAATTACAAACTCGACCTACTCATATGATTTGTTTTGCTTTGAAACTGCAACTTCCAAATTTGTTAGACGCCTCTTAGCTCGTATATTGGAAGAGGAAGCAGTTGTTCCATAGTCACCTTTACAAACATTTCTTTAGTTTTCTTGCAGCCATGCTTTGAAATGAGATGCTGCAAATCACTAGTAAGCTATTTCATGTTTGAGTTTTTAGAATGTGAAGGTGAATACCATCATGGTCAGATAACACCGAAACACTTTGTATTTCTGTACCTACATTACAATATAAAGTCCTGTTCTTGACCCAGGTAACGATGGTATCGTTGTCAGCAGCAGTGCGGTGCTGATTTGTGTCCATGGTGATAGTTCTCTTCTGATCTTTGTACCCAACAGTAATTGTCTTGGATGTGATGACACTTAGTAGAATTCGGTATTTTGGCTCATGGCATGTAGTGTTTGAATATGGGATGAACTAGTTGTCTATACTTGTAAATTCATCAAGGGAGGATGCGGTCCTCAGAAGGTTCTGCTTGCTGTGACTTCCCTTGTCCTCCCTATTCTTCCAGAGCTCTTTCTGTGATGTGGACCTTGTCTTTCTTACCTGAAATGATGATGAATTTGTGTTTTTACAGCGTCAGAGTCTTTGGACATATAAGAGTCTTGCATGAAAGCAGTTAGGAATTTTTGAACCTTTATTGATGGTGAAATGGCAGTGCTCTGTATAAATGAGCAGCCACAGGTTCCAAGGAGCAGACATAGCAAACTAAGCTGTTCATACTTCTTGGTTTATAAAAGTTCTAACATTTGCTTTTAATGTCTGTCTAGTAATAGCTGTGAAACATTTCAGTAGAAGTATTCTGGTTTTGTGCCAGTTTCTTTGGATAAAAAGACTTTTTGCTTTAAGGTTCTTTTAATTGTAAAATGTTATCTGTAAAATTTATCAGAAAACATTAATGTCTGTGGATTTGTTTTGGTTTTTTTGGTGACCTTTAGAAATGTATTCACATTTCCTTCAGTTCTGCTGGAATTGGCATGATTTGTCATTTATTTTTGGTTAAAAATTAGGCTGCTACATTGCAATAAAATTATAACCCAGGAAAATAACATTTAGTGAATCAAAGGAGTGGGTTTTTGGTTTAAATTGCTAGCTTGCCTTTGAAAATGTATGTGTCTGCTTGCATATAGAGTGGTTGAACAAATACATCAAACTAGTTAAGGGTGGAGAGAACAATCACCCTTCAGAGGTGATTTCAGAGGCTAGCTTCCCACTATATCTTGCCCCCTTCTCTAGTTACCAGGCCCAGCAGTGGCTTACACCTCTGCCAGGTCATGCACAGGTACCTTTTGAGCCTCCACCTCCTTTGCTCACTCTCCCCCTGCAAGAGACAGCTGAAGCTGGGCCAGGTTTTGCCAGTTGTGGCAATATTCACTTGGCAATATTCACAATATGAATAATATTTCTCTTCCGCAGAGCTTTTCTTTTGGAGTTGTGTGTTGAAGTAGACTGATGAAGAAATTGCAGTAGGTTGCTTCACTTTAAACCACTACCACAACATTGCTTGCAGACTTTCAGAAATCCAGAGATACTGAGTTTCTGAGTCTGTTCTTGAAAATGAAATGGGAAATTTGCTTCTTATTGTAGTTCTCAGAGATGCCTGCATGCTGTTCTGCTTTCTTTGTGTGCATCAGGAGTGCTGCTTCTCTGTGCCTCTCCATCAGTTTTTGCTATTCTGTTTTATTTGAAGATGCTATCAGTAGGACTAGATGATCTTCAGAGATCCCTTCCAACCCTAGTGATTCTGTAGTTCTCACAAAAAAAGCCTGGAATCCAAGGGATTCTTTCTGCTTCATAGTTTTTCTTAGATAATGATTTTTGAAAGCTGTCAATGCATGTATTTATAAAAGACACGGAAGGGAAGCTGTACAGTATGGATTTAGTCCTTAAACAAAACCACAGGTTAGATGTTTGAAGGGTTAAGTATGGTCAAAAGGAGATAATGAAGCTTTAAGGAACTGCAAATAAATTAGGCCATGTTTTGCAAACAAAACCTTTCAAGTTTTTCATTATAGGTGGCTTTTCTTTCTTTAGTGCTCTACATGACCTGTAATGCTTATACATCATCAAAGAGGATAGAAACACTCTTTCTATGTTAATTCTGGTCAGTTTTAATGGTTATGTTGGAACTCTGTAGCAGGCAATCCTAAACAGAAGCATTCTCTATTAAACGCTTGAAGGATTCTCTATTAAAGGTTATATAATTCTCTATATAACCTTGTGTGACTTTTTTCTTTCCTGTTTGCTCTGAGATTCCACCCTCTTACTTTGCAGGACTACCACCCCCAGAATTGGAGACATTCTGCAAAAGCTAGCTCCTTTCCTCAAGATGTATGGAGAATATGTGAAGAATTTTGATAATGCCATGGAATTGGTGAAAACGTGGACTGAACGGTCACCTCAATTCAAATTCATTATTCAAGACATTCAGGTAATGGGGAGAATAACTTAGATCTCCAAGTAATACAATAATATATGAAAATATATAGTTTATATAGGGTGAGAAAAGGATTAAAGAGGAAAAAAAATACTAAATTCCTCAGAATTAAGGATTGTTCATTTTGTCTGCTTCATACTGCATTCTGCTTCTTCACCTTCTCCCTTCATATGTGCACATATACCCCCGCAAATCCAGACTTTCAACCGCAAAATAGAGGACCAAAGTAAAAAGGTTAAAACGCGAGAAGACTGAAAGAAAACTATTTTGTATTATTTATCTTAAAACAGTATTTAGTTTTGGTATCTGCAACAAAAATTAGTATCAAGTGACCTATCAGTGCAATTATAGATCCTCACACTGAATCTGTAAGTACTGTGTTGGTTCTCACCAGTGCTATTAACGCAGAGCTTTATGCTTTGGAAGTAAGTAGACAATCCTCACTGCTGAGGCACAAAAGGTGAAGAAAGCTTAGCAGTTCAGCAATGCGTAAATCTTAAAGCGCTTTTTATACCCTCTAGTGCTCCCTGTAGGTGTCTCTGCGAATTGGAAGGTATGTGTATCAGGGAGACTGAGCAGCTAAGGCTGGGATAAGGTTTTTCTACTTAAATTTTACTGCTCAGTGGGGTCTCACAATTCAAAGCCAGGGAAGACAACGATGTGCATTTGAATGAAGTCTTTTAATTGCATAAATTAATATGCATCTTAAAACACTGCTGAGGGGGTTTACATTATAAGTGAAGCTCAGAGAAAGCTTTTCTGCAGACAGGTAAAATAAACCTTCAGAGTCTATTTAAGCGATATTTTCTATTAGGTGGTCATGAACTGTTCTTATTAATTCAGTAATTATTCTCTTGTCTGAGTCATTACAAGCCTAATTTAAAATACACTGGTGTTTGGGAGATCTTTTGGATACTTAGGAAAGTTTTTACAGTTATTTTTAGGAAAGTATTTCTAATTATTTGGTTTGGTAAAGTAGTTCTGTTTTCTTTCAGAAGGTCTATCATGCACATTTCAAAATACGTTATTTGTGTTTCACCAATCATAACTTTTATTTTACTATATCGTAATAACATTTTTGCCTGCTACATTGAAATATGTTTACAATTTTTTAGAAGGAAAAAGTGTGTGGAAATTTGACATTGCAACATCACATGCTAGAACCAGTACAACGCATTCCACGCTACGAGATGCTTCTAAAGGACTACCTAAGGAAATTGCCTCAGGATTCTCTAGACTGGAAAGATGCTGAAAGTAAATATCTTCTAGCCATTAAAAGAGCTGAAATAAGATTTAGTAAGAGGATACTGTAAGTTAGAGATATTCTCAGGAAAAACAAAGTGAAGAGGCAAAGTCCCTCTGAAAAGAATGCCAAATTTTCTTAAGGGGAGATGCAGGATTGTAGGATTCTCTGGGGGGAAAAAAAGTGTTTGAATAGTGGATGAAGTTAATTTAAAATTTCTAAAGCCTTTAGTGTCCTCCTGGAGTTCACAAGATTTGCTTTAGGTTTGGATTAGCATACAGGATTTATTTGCTTTGTAGATGATCAGGGGTTGTGGTGGTGGTTTTTCTTTGGTGGTGTTGTGTTTTTTTTTGCTTTTGTTGTAATTTTGGTTTGCTTTATGCACATTTGGAATGTGTGTCTGTAGAAAAACGGAGTTACACTCATTATTGTATTTTTTCCTGTAGGAAAAAGAACAGCCCATTTTTAAATTTATACCTCCCTGTATTTACACAAGAACAGTTCAAGATATTTCCATGATTGTTCAAAATTACTGGCCAGATAATTATTTTTTTTTTAAATACTTAATTGTTAGTGAGCTGTTTCAACTAAAAAAACCACAGTTTGATATTCTGAACTACTTTGTGAAAAGAGGGGAGGGAACCATGAGTGGTCATGTCATAAAAAACATGATTCTAAGTGCTGCAGCTCTAAAGTAATCTGCAATAATTCTATTCTGATCTTTCCAGATTACAGTTTCTATTTGGTAGTTGACTTTCTTAAGCTTTCCACTTTACCTTGGTTATTTTTTGTTGATAACTTCAGAAATTTATTATGGTGTGTAATTTACATAAAAATGGCAAAGGGTTTTGTAGACTGATCCTTCTTTTTTTTTTTTTTTCCTCATATGTAATATGTAAAAGTGCAGCTTTTTGGGTTTACTTTTTTCTTTTCCTTCTGTCTAGAATCCCTGGAAATTATATCCACTGCAGCAAGTCACTCGAATAGCGCAATAAGAAAAATGGTAAATTATCCTTGTTTCCCAGGTCACTTTTTAATATATTATATTTGAGTATTTGGTGAAGCTAGGAGTGCGAAATGCAAATGTACCCAAAAAGGGTCCCCTGGGTCCAGGTGGTTGCTCCTACTTAATGTACTTACACAGCTCCTGGGAATGATAGACAAAATCTAGCACTGCACCTAATTCTCTAAAGGGGAAGATAGGACAGGCTGGGTTCATCTCCTCGCTCAAATAGGTGATACCATGCTGGGCATTAACCTCATTTCACTTGTGGTTGTCAGTGGAAGGATAATGTTTGTAAAGAGTAGTTACTGCTTCTCTGCAGTATTAGGCTGGCATGGCAGCCACTTGATTAAGTATGTAAGATACTTTGGACAAGAGATAATACAGGCTGCATGTATAACTACATTTTTTAGATTACCAAGGAGGTAACATTCCTAAAAATACTTGTTACTGCATCAGCTAATCAGCCTGTATGTCTGACTGTACGTAACAGGCACATATATGTTTTTCAAAGCTAACATTCTCCAGGCTTACACAACCTCCCATAATTTCATTTAAATATGCTTAAAGGTCTGTGTTTTTAATTAGTTTTATAACTGTATTTTCCCTGTAAAGGAGAATCTGAAGAAATTGTTAGAGATATACGAGATGCTGGGAGAAGAGGAAGACATTGTGAACCCTTCAAATGAACTGATAAAAGAAGGACAGATCCTTAAACTCGCTGCTCGCAATACATCTGCTCAAGAACGGTATCTTTTCCTAGTAAGTATGGTGGCCTGTGTTTGCAGGAGTGGCTGTATATCTTTCTAAATGCAAAAGAACTACCAAAGAGAGAAGGAAATCCTCTCTAGCTGATGTCAGTGCCTTTCCACTAGTGATATTAGAGCATGAGTAAAACTTACACTGCTTACAGAAAGGCTTCAGTGGAGTGGCTAGAATGGAATACATGGTTTTAAACAAATGGAACCAGAGTCCAGCAGCTCACTTTTACCTAAAGTGTCTGCTGATTATAAATGCAGGTCCTAGAGCACAAGAACTTTGATGTTCTCATGAAATTGAAGTTTAATGTTCTAGTCCTGACAGATCGTGTGTTGAGGTCCCAGTAAAGTCTTACGGTCCTGTGGGAGCTTGTTATCATGGCAGGTCATCCTCTTGTCAGGTGTGTGTCGTGTCTTGGAGCTAAAAAGCTACAGCCATGCCACCTTACAACTCACTTGCAAAAGTTTTGATATAATTCATTGTTTTAAAAATTGCATAGTTCAGCTGTATGCTAATACAGTTTTTAATGTATTAGCATTAAAACCTGCTAATACATTTCTGCTTATAAACCTCTGGCATTGCAATTCCGGTTAATAAAGACTAGTAATGGGTTGTTGAGGCATAACTGCTTATCTGTGCTTCTAACAAAAGGAGGAACCATTGAATAGTAAGACCTAAGATGGGGCTGGACAGCTGATTAAAACAATGTGCACTGCATATGAGAGGTGACAAGTTCAAATGTGCTTTATCTGTGATACAGATTAAGCAATGGGCTAGACAGGATTTCTATGAACTAGGATTTAACCAAAGTGAGTTTCTCTTTTTAATAATTAATTTTGAGAAAAATGTGAGGGCAAAAAACGCGAGAAAATTAAACACTATAGATCTAATGACTGTGCTTCTAGGCTGGGGCTTTAGACATCTGCATATTTTTAAAGTTCTTATCTTTACTTCTTCTTACTCTTTTTTTTTTTTTTTTTTGTCCTGTGATACTGAGGGTTTCAGTGAATAAAAACTCTAAGAAATGTTCTTCTGTCTTGGAGAAAAGACCTATAATTTCCTCAAATGATATTAGTTACAACTTCTACAAATCCAAATGATTTTGGTACCTAATTCTCTAAAGTTGAAGATGGGACAGGCTGGGTTCAATTCCTGGCTCCAAAAGTTGATACCATGCTGGTATCACCTATTAGGTGATAATACCCTAATACTGAATTAGGGTATTAGGGTAAATATAAACCTATACACTGAAGAAAACAGTTATTTTTCAGTTTAAAGTAGGTGTTGCAGAACTGGGGCTTAAGAATGGGATTTTCTAACAGAAGCTGTACAGTGCTATAAAATACCCAGTCTGAGAACAGTTGATAACAAATGCTATGAAGATTGCTCTGCATAAACCATCATTCATCCACTGAAGGTGTCCTTTAATCTTATTTCTAAACAAGTAAGAAAAAGAAATTGTCTTGCATTAGAACTTTGGCTTTCTTGTATATCAGTTGAGTGGGAAAGAACCTACTTTGTCACCCACAAAGTCTGGCTTTCTGATATCATCCTGCTGTCAGTAAAAAATGTGGCTGTATCAGTGTTTTTGCAAAACACTGCAGTAATTGCAAACCCATGCATTTCTTTCTTTTTTCCCAGTTTAACAACATGTTGCTCTACTGCGTCCCCAAATTCAGCCTGGTAGGATCAAAATTCTCAGTTCGAACCAGAGTTGGCATAGATGGTATGAAGATTATAGAAACTCATAATGAAGAATATCCACACACTTTTCAAGTGTCTGGAAAAGAGCGAACACTGGAGTTGCAGGCCAGGTAAGCAGTCTTTTTATCTAGCTTTTGGAGGATTAAATATATGCATGAAAAAGAGTGGACTAATTGATTTAGAGAAAGAGGCTTCATCTTAGTATCAGTGTTTTGAAAATAGCCTAGGCTATCACTTGAGTTCACTGCTTAGTGCTTGCAAACTTGTGAAAGCCTAAAATCATGCTTTTGTTTTCTGTTTTAAGATGGACAGTTAATATTGTTTTAATTTAAATTCCTGAGAATTACTGCAGAAGCTTTTGCAAGAAGTTTTTGATAATGAGAAAATGTTTCCTGAACTAGTTTTGGACTAATGTTTCAAATATTTCTTTTAGTTCTGCACAAGATAAGGAAGAATGGATAAAGGTAAATTTATCTGAATTCTGTATTTTCTAAACATTTTTTTCAATGAAGCAATCAAAAAAGTAATAGTCATATTTTCTAGCTGTAGCTGCCCTCTGCTACTTAATAACTGGCAAGAATGCAGAGAATCTGTTTTAAGTGTAATATGTTTGAGGGATTTCTCCACTGTTTCCTCAGGCACTTCAGAATACGATAGAAGCTTTTCAGCAGAGGAATGAAACTTTCAGAAATGCTATTGCTAAAGAATATGAAGACATGCCTGTTGAGGTATCTGTAAGTTGCTGTTATTCCTTTGTAACCTTCTTAGTACTCATTTTGTTCTTCAATAACTGGGAAAACATTGGCAGAAACTTTGTTTGCAAGCTTTTCACTCTTATAGCAGAGGAATTATGAAGTAGTCATCTTTTGGGGAATTGTTTTTCTTCATAATGCCAAATCTTATAATCAATATTTTTTTTTTTTTTCATTTGTAACATGTAACAGAGCATCCTTTCACTGAGGCATAATGATTTTCTTTGTTATTTCTTGTATATTCTTCAAAATGCATCTTGAGCTCTGTTTCGACATTTCCCTTCCAGAGGAAGAGAATAATAATTTTCTCTATTTAAAGTACTGCACAACTTTTTACACTGGCTTTTTTATTCTCCCACCCTCCCCCTGGCCCCATTCAGAATGCTGAGCTTGGGAAGAGAGCACCAAGATGGATACGAGACAATGAAGTAACCATGTGCATGAAATGCAAGGAGCCCTTTAATGCCCTGACAAGGAGAAGGCACCACTGCCGAGCATGTGGACATGTAAGTGCAAAATCCCAGCTGCTGTAGCTCGTGAGCAGGCTTGGGAATGGGTCTAAGCACCTACTTGACTTCTGGTGCCTGCTTGTTATTCTGCAGAGTTTGTTGCTCTGCTTGTGGCTGAGAGAAGCTGTGTGTAGCATACAACAAAGGAATCCTCTGTCTGCTTTAGTTAGCATCGTAAATTTGTAAGTAATTTGGAGCAGCGGAAGATGCATGTCTTTGTAAAATGTTCCAAGCCCCCAGACCTACTGTACTGTTATTTCTGAGTGCCTTCCACTGATCTCAACAGTTTCAAGACCATATTAAACTGGAATAAGGTAGCTGTATACTGGGCAGCACTGACTGCCTCCTCTTCCCATTCAGCTACTTTCTTTTTCCTATTCATAAGAAGATCATGTAGCCCTGCAGTTTCTCATTGGGCCAACTTGGAGCTGTTCCCAGCTGGGTTCAGCATGTAACTGTGTGAACATGCGTGAAGCATCAGGGAAGCAGAGAGCTTAGGATGGGGAGAGAGTATTACTGCTGTTTTCTGTGTATGATGCTATGGTAATGTATGCTGCTTTAAAGCAACCATGAATTAGTGGTATGATTTGAGAGTTTTCAGAAGTTAACAAAAGAGCAAACACCCCATGCTTTCTGTTCTTGCCATCCAGCAGCAATGCCTTTGTCCAGCAGATGGTAGTGCAGGCCCAGGTTTAATTCTTCTCTTACAGGTTATCTTTCACGATTTCTTTATAATATTTTTATGTGTCATGAAGGCTTATTCCATTCACAGTGCTGCTTTTTTGCATTAATTTTTTTATTGATTATACCCTTGTAGTCTGTTTTGTGGGTTTTGTTTTGTTCCCCCCCCCCGATCATTGTCTTAAAACTCATCTGTTAATCTTAAAATCACACCTTTCCTTTTTATTCACCCTCTTGTTCAGACTCCTAATTTCCCTCTCTTGTAGTGCTATCACATTTTATGCACTTCAATTTTAAATTTATTATTTTTTTTTCCGTGTGAATTACTTTGGGTCAGTTGTGTTTTTCCAGCAGTGACTAATTGGGAATGCTTCAGTAGTATTCTCTAGAGATATTAGTTGAAGGTAGTGTTATAGATTAGTACTGCAAAACCCTGGTCCACAATAAAATTTTGTTCAGGTGTTTTGAGTGGTCCAAGTCCATTTGTCTACCATTCTTTCTTGAAATAACTTCACTCAAAATTTTTATGCAGGGCATCTTTTTCATCTGAAAGAACATTTCTGTGGAAAAACATTGCTAATGAAACGTTCTTTCAGATATCTCATGGGTTGCAGTTTTATGCATATAAATATACAGTGAGAAGAAAAATCATTGTGATATTGGCTTATTCTGTGTACTTATGAACAGATTATAAAACTGAAAATTTAATAGCAGGTTAAAAATATCTATTTCTTATTATTGTTTTCATCAATAATGTGCATCTCACTTGTACATTTCTCAGGCTATGTAGATAAAAAAAAGGTAAATATAGCTTTTCAGGTTGCATCTTAACAAACTGGAAAGGATTTTCTTCTAGGAAGCTGAAGGATTTTCTTTCTGTAGCATGGCTTGTGCTAGATTCTATTTCTAACTTTAACCTACAGATAGGACTGAAAGACTAATGTGATTTTATGGAAAGTACGAAGTTTCATCAGGTAAATAGTAAAAACTGCTTCTAGTTAAGCAGCAGTGGCACAAATTTGGAAAATCATTTTCAATTGAATTTGTAATGACATGTCATAAAGGCATTATCTTTCTTGTTCTGTGGAATGAAACAATATATTACTAAGTAGAGAAAATATTACTGTTTTTTAATTCAATTATGTTTTCATGATTTTTATATGTAAGTTATCTTTTTTTTCTAAGGTGGTTTGCTGGAAATGTTCTGATTACAAGGCACATCTTGAATATGATGGCAATAAATTGAACAAAGTCTGTAAAGACTGCTATCATGTTATAATTGGTTGTACAGACAGTGAAGAAAAGAAGAAGAAAGGGATCCTGGAGGTAAGTAATTTAAAAATCATATATGTGCATACATGCAGTTTCAATTCATCAGTAAGTGAAAACTGGTAGCATTCTTGAAGGGCTATTTTCTGTTTGAGAAATAAAAGGTATGTGGACCAAATTCATCCTGTCCAATAGACTTTGATTTTCACCATTAATCTTTTACAATACTACATTGTTTCTTATTTTTATTCTTCTTCGTTTAGCTGTCATAGCAATAAAACCCACTGCTACTACAATGATTTTTGAGAACACATACCCAAACTGAAAGAACTGAGGAGGGAGGAGAGAGTAATAAGGGAAAATTTTGCTATTCCAAGTCTGAGTTGTAAAATACTGTTTTGATCAGTGTACGCAATGTACCTTTAAGTCATCAAGTTGCTCTCACCTTTTGATATCTAAAAATTCAAGGTCTCAATCAGACAATAAGGAGCTATGTTTCTTTTATAACTGCGGGAGAAATAGGCACCTTACAACTGCAATTAACCAACTGCACATTTCTTAAATCCCCCTTTACAGGCCCTTTCAAAACACCTGACTTACATTAGGGAAAGATCATCTTAATTTTGTTAAGACATACTTATCTTGAGATGTAGTAGAGAGGGATTGACCCGTGAGTTAAATAACAACAGAAAAAGAAGACAAAAATAAGACACAGGTTATGATTCCATATACAGGTCTTAATCCATGTTGGTTTCACTACACTCTCCTAAATAAGAAAGTAAGGACTGCAAAACTCCACTAGCTTACCTTATAGTCAAGAGTCTGCTCTTTCTTGGCATGGTGCCTTTTTTAAGGTAGCTAAGGAGCTACAGAGTCTCTTAGAAATGTCCATCTGCTTGCTGGGTCTCATGACAGTAGAGCACTTAGTAGCATGTTGCAGCAGCCAGACAGCACCACTACTAGGAGAGAAAAAAATGTATTCAAGGGAACTTTAACAAATGATCGTTTTGTGTTCTTTCTGATCTTCTCAGGATCACCATTTATCCCAAATAGCATGCCATTTTGTCTTCAGTTTTTAAGCAGTTCACCTAATCTTTTTGATACGTGCTTGCATTCTTATGCTGTTCTTAAAAATATATTTGCATCTGATCCTGCCATAATATTTTGAATACCAAAAAAGCGTAGCTGTCATATTGGACAGTTGTTAGCACTTAAATGCCTGACATGATGTTGTTTAGAAATCAGATGTTGTAGGTCCTAAGATACATAGAAAGGCTATCTGTGGAGGCAGAATTAAATTTAGAATGATCTAGAAGTGTGTAATCCAAAATTACCAATGAAAGAAGGAACAGACTACACATGTTAAGGGAGTACATGTTGTGATTGTAAGTACGTAATATATAAATATTTTCCATAAACCCAGTCCTTCATGATCTTACTTAGATAGTTGCTGAAGTGGTTTTTTTGCAGATTCTATCCAAGGTTGGATATGAATGGTGATGAAGTTCTCCTTTTCTGTTTTCTGTGGTTTTAGTCTGTATTTTCCTTTTTATGCTTTGCACTCTCTCCTAGATTGAATCTGCAGAAGTTTCTGGAAATAGTGTTATATGCAGCTTTCTTCAGTACATGGAAAAATCAAAGCCCTGGCAGAAAGCATGGTGTGTTATACCTAAGCAGGAAGCTCTTGTGCTGTACATGTATGGTGCTCCACAGGTATGTGCAGATAAAATGGAAAAGATTTCAGTAATTGTCACTGCCATCTGAGGAAGAGAAGTCTGATAGCTTAGGAATGGAGGAAAGACCCTATTGTTTTCATCAACCTGTATAGTAAATGAGAGTTAGCGGGCAAATTAGTTGTCTATTCTTAATCAAGAATTTCTTCTTCTTAGGATGTTAAAGCTCTGGCTACAATTCCACTTCTGGGCTATACAGTAGATGACACTCCAAGAAGCGCTGACCTCCCACACAGCTTCAAACTGACCCAGTCTAAGTCTGTGCACAGCTTTGCTGCGGACAATGAGGAACTAAAACAGAAATGGCTGAAAGTTATCCATTTAGCTGTAAAAGGTGAGACACCAGAATGTCAAACTGAACTGCAGGTGAATTTAGAAGAGCAACCTGAGTCTTCTAAAACTTGTGAATGCTGAAGCTCAAGAACACATGTATTTTTGAAAGATTTCAGTTGAATTTGTGGTTAACCTTTGTGTTAACTGTTCTTCGCTCAATCAAGAAATCTTACAACTGTACACATCTTAGCACTTTATGTTTGGGAAAAATTCTGGTCTTTTTCGGGATCTTTTTCTTATATTTATGTTCTGTCAATAAAGGTGATGTACAGGTCCATTTCAGAGACTTTTTTAAAAAATGTGAATGTTATTAAAAATACTTACTACTTGTTTGTCATGATACAACTTTTTTTTTTTTTTTTTTTGAAAATCCAGTTGCTCTTGGTTTAATGTTTCCTTCTTTCATTAAGAATGCAAATACTGAAGCTTCCTACTTACACGTTAGGACTTGCAACAGGATAAAAGATATACCTCCACATTTCCAAAATAGATGTGTAGTTAAATATGCAGGGACAGTTTGGTTTAATGTATGTAGTTTATAGATTGAATTCCACAGATCTGTACATATGTTGTATTCACTTGTCTCTTTTAATTAAAGTAATGCAAATTGCTTTCACGGGTATATTGGCTTTTAAAGTTTCAATTTATCAAGGAAACAATCTATTGATTTTTCAATCTAGAAATGAATACCTAAAATATGAGAAAACAATATATAATATATGTACAGTATTAAAAATGTTCAATTCTTGATCATTGCTTTGATTTCATGATACTGGGTTCCTGTTAGTGAATAATTTATTTAAAAAGCATGTTTTCTATTTGAAATTAAACACAGTTCTAAATTAACAAATACTTTTCAGTGATTTGTTTTAATAGCTGACACTTAATGATCTTGATATTTTTATGCATCAAAAAAATAACAGTAATGTAAGTGGCATGCAATGGACAAATATGTTCCAGTTGTGTTTAAAAGAGCAGTCGCTTTTTTTTCTGTGTCCTATCACTGTTTTCCTTTAAGAGTGCAGTAGTTAATTACTCAAATGCAGTATGTGGTTTGAGAAGAGCAACAGATTCTAGTAACCTTCTGGGAATATGAGTTTTGGCTATTATGGTTTTTGGAACAAAAGAACATTTTCAACTTAAGCCTTTTAATTTTTGCAGAAGATTAAATACTGTAATATTTATGACAACAGTCTTCAAGAATTATTGTTCTAAAGTAGAACCTGCTTTATACAAATTTAGTATGAAGTCTGAGCCGGCAAACCTCAAGTTAACTATCAAGTTAGCAATCTCAAATCTCAATTTAACTAACATTATTTGCATTCCACTTATGGGAATAAGGATTTGTTGTCCTTATGGTATTAGGTCCCTCATGAACTTTCATTCTTAGTAGGGTTTTTATAAATACAGGTAAATGACCTCACTAAATTTTTTATTGTAACATCCTTGAATTAAATATGGCAAATTCAGAGGTAGTGATTGACTATCGATAGACAATTAAAATCATTGCTATTTTTTCTGACCCCTGAAAGGAAAGAAAATATGTAGCTTCTATAATTAATTTGTCATAAGAACATTCAGGAGTCTTACTTCTTGATATAACTGCAATCTGTATTTTAAATCGTGTCAAGCTGAAGAGCTCGGTTTCAAGTTCAGTTTAGTTAGTAACATGAGGGCAGATTTAAATTGTTGCTTCTTTATAGTGAGAATTCCAAAGCTACTCTTTGTGTCACACAGTAGGAAAAAAAAAAAACACAAAAGAACAAACCCAGCTCATTTAGCATTTAACAAGGGATTGTTAAAGTAACCTCTGTTTTTAGTGTCAAGCATCCAATGGTGTCTATCATTCTTTGGTAAGAAGAATGTCATGCAACTTAATGTTAGTGGTCTGGATTTTGCTCTCACCTGCACAAATCTGCCTTTAGACTTCAAAGTTTCATGCTAGTTTTAGTAATTATCAGGGCACAGCATTGTACAGTAACTCCACAACTGACTTTGTGCTTGTCAGTTCTGGATTTTTCCTTGGGTACTCCACGTGCCCAGATTATTCTGCATGTAACCCTAGTATTACTTTTATCTGATGTGCAAGCTCTTCTGTAATTCTCTTTAAGTTACTTCTGTCAGTTGTACTTGCCTTTAGTTACAGGCAGCTCAAGCCCGTTTTGATTCACACTGGTGAGTACAATCAAATCTTCACCAAGGTCTCCCTAGCTAGTATGTGTTATCTTGTGTATATCTTGGCAAGGGAAGGGGGAACATTCAGTAAGCAAGAACAACTTTCTGTGGCTAGCTTGCTTTCAATGGTCATCTCCTGAGAGTGGGTATTTTCTAGAGAGCCTCAAGTGCAATTGTGAGATCTGTAGAGTCATCTTGCCACATCCCAGTGTACCTTTGTTTCTCATGTTCAAGTTGTTGAGTGTAAGGGGAGAAGCTGCATTAAAGGAGTCTCTAGATAAGATGGACTGAGCTGTACTGAAAGTAATATGATGGTATCACTGTAATCATAGAATCATTTAGGTTGGAAAAGACCTTTAGCATCAACTACTTCCCTAGGCAATCTGTTCCAGTGCTTGACAACCCTTTCGGTGAAGAAACTTTTTCCTAATATACAATCTAAACCTCCCGTGGCACAACTTGAGGCTATTTGCTTACTGCTTGTTGCCTTGGAAAAAAGACCAACATCCATCTCGCTACACCCTCCTTTCAGGTAGCTGTAGAGAGCAATAAGGTCTTTCCTTTTCTCCAGACTAACCAACTGCCATTCACTCAGCTGCTCCCCATGAGACTTGTGCGCTAGATCATTCATGAGCTTTGTTGCCCTTCTTTGGACATGATCCAGCACCTCAGTGTCTGTGTTGGTGTGAGGGGCCCAAAACTGAATGCAGTATCTGAGGTGTGGCCTCAGCACCTCAAATACTGTGCAGGACATGAGGTGCTGAGTCCTGCACACCTTTGCTGTGCAAGACTCAGCAAGCAGTCCAGTACAATCACACCCCTGGCCCTGCTGGCTATGCTATTGCTGATAAAGGCCAGGATGCTGTTGCCCTTCTTGGCTGTCTGGGCACAAGCTGCTCATGTTCAGCTCTGTCAGACAGCACCCCCAGGTCCTGTTCCACCGGCAGCTTTCCAGCCACTGTTCCTCCAGCCTGTAGCATTGCATGGGCTGTTGTGGCCCATATGTAGGATTTCTGCCTTGTTGAACCACATGCAATTGGCCACAGCCCAGTGATCCAGCCTGTCCAGATCCCTCTGCAGAGCAGATCAACACTCCCAGCCAAGTTGGTGTTGCATATTACATTCTGTTTTCTAAACTCCTGTAAATTTAATTCTGAGCCAAGTGGGAAGACCTATTCCATCTAAATTATTAGAAGCAGCAATTTCTGGGCTGCCTTATTTGTTATAGTGGTACTGAGTAGCTGAAGCTGCTTGAATGGTTTCAGCATTTCGCAGACAAAGTGCTGCATTTGGGCATAAACAATTTGAAATGAACATAGCACTGGGAGTTACTTATTTGGATGTTAGCCTCATGCTTGCTCTCAGGCTTTTAAGTTTAGATAGCGTGAGATATTTTATTTACCCTAGTGAAACCTATTTCATGTTCATATAATCAGTTGCTTGGTCAGAATTGTTCTGTTCTGATTCAGAATGTCTTGGCACTTAAATGTATGGTTCTGTATGTATTTTGTAGGGAAAGTATGTACCCACAGTATTAAAGGGGATCAGAAGATGAAGATGTTGCTTCTAGATTTAACCACTTTAATTGTTTCACTCCATTCTCCACAGACAAGCCCTCCTACAGCATCCAAAACTTTAACTTTGAATTGTAAATTATGACCTCAGAGGAATGAATTCAAAGTAGTAACTGCTGTGGTTTAAGTACTGTGACCAGAGCAGTCAAATTAGAACTATCATTCTAGCAAGGTATAGGCTGTTACCACTTCAGCTGTTAATTTTATTTTTTTAATGCATTGAATTTATTAACATAAAGCTCTGTGTATAAGAAATAAACTAAAACTGAGCATTCATTCATAATACACGAATGTATGTGAATAGATCTTCTGAAATATTCAAGCTTTGTGATTCTTACGTTCAAGAGATTCTTGTTTCTCATTTTCAAAGTGATCAGATGTTTGTGCAATTTAAAGCAGATAAATTATTTTGTGTGGGTTTATCTGTGTTCAACTACAACAATGGCTTCATTTTATCATTAATATGTTTGGAAGATGTTAACGTAGTTTTCAAAAGTACTTAATATTTTTCCCCTAACATGAAAAAATAGTGTATCATGACATCTGCATGTCATCACCATTCTTCCAGATCCTCTAAAAATTGTTTACAGGTATGAGGTATACTGCTTGGTTGAAGAGCTGCTGTAAAATCTGTAGCATCTAGTCCTTTCAAATCCCTTTGCACTGAGTAGTTTATTCTAACATGTATTTAATTTTAATATGCAAAATAGAGATGGGAATACCATACATTGTCTTTTATTTGGAGTAGTATATTAAAACACTTTACGTGCATATAATATATAGTGGCATCTTTTTATGCAGAACCATCTCAAAATGCTTTATAAATCTCCTCAAAGATTCTAAATCCCTTTTGTAGAAAAGAGATTTTTATTCATTTTTTTGAATTGTGGATGAAGCCAAGGCATTGATTAAATGTTGAATCAATACACTACCACCTAAGTAATTTTAGGAGGCTATAGAAGTATGCTCCAAAGAGTTGCAAGTAGAGTCAGGAGGAAAAAAATAAATAAAACAAATATGTATAAAAATAAGTGGTAAAGATATGGAAACACTTGACAGGTTCTTTGGAGTTTGTTGGTTTCTTGTCTGTTGAGGGTTTTTTTTTTTAAAACCTACATCACCACAGCTAGTATAAAAATTGGTCAGCTATTCATTTCAAGATAAAATTAATGAATGTAGAAATAATTTGAAGTGACAAAAAGGAGCTTTCTCCATAAATCTCTTCAGCTGGTGTAAACTAGCACAGGACTGCTGGGGCTATTATACCTTCAGTGATTTAAATTCATTATATAGGTACACTTGTGGAAAATCAAGATTTCACCGGTTTGAGAGCTGCTGACTTACTGTGTCTCATCTGGAATCACAGTGCTTGGTTGAACTTCAGCTGGGTTTCAGTTGGAGATAATTGATGTAAGGGTGAATGTAAACAACTGGAAGTATACATCCAGAAGTAAATGATTGGAGAAATGACTTTGTGGTAGAACTGACTATCCTTAACATAAATGTAATGGTGAAATGGGCATTCTTAGTCTGTGGTGTACTGTTGTTTGAAATCTGAAATTAAATATATGGAGTTACTTTTTTTTCTCCAGTCTGTGGCCCTATTGGTATGAGGAAATAACCTAGCTGGTTCTGCCCCGTGGGTCTGTAGTGAAGTAATCTCCTTGGGTAGGATTTTTCATCTGCCAGTCAGATTGTTTCCTAAAATCCTGTTCCCTTAACACAACATAACATTAACTTAATGATTGTATATGTATATCTATATACACATGTATGTGTGTGTATATGTATATATGTGTATTTATATATTTGAGACTGTTATTCAGATGACCTGTTTTCAAGCAGTGTTTTACAATCAAAAACACACTGTGCTGCATTCAAAATATAATGTATATTTATATTGACTGTGTTGAGTATGCTTTTCAGAAGAAAAATATCAACAAAAGTACATCTACTTTTGTGGCATGTTTACTATTTTGGCCTAATTTAAAAAACAAAACAAAAATATCCACCCAGAAACCCAACAATAACAAAACCCCAAACACTGTAAATTCAGTAAGGCACTCAATCTGCCTCCTTTAAAGCCTTGTGATTAAATTTCTTCCCAGACTTTATGGCATTTTGCTTTCACTCCTTCCTCTGCCTAGCATAAATGAAAGCAGAATGTGGTTTTCCTCTTCTAAATTCTTCAAGCAGATTTCTTTGAATAAAATGTTTTCAGCCATGGCGTAACACCAGCCTTTTTTGTTTATAGTTCATCCTTGTAGATGCATTAAATATTCATGGTGGAAATATTCAGGAAAGGGGGAGCTATGTCAAAACATTTTTCCATGTATGTGTGCCCTAACATTTTTTAGAAAGAAGCCAAATTTGTTGCATATAGGGAACAGTTTGCAATAGAAGTATGGGTTTGTTTCTTTCTATTAGCATGTTTTCTATTCTGCAGTCCTCAAGGTAGATTAATATGTTAGTTTTAGCGGATCAGCTGTAATGTTTGACATCAGAATTACAGTCTATGCATTAATTCCCCTTCATTATGGAAACATTTCTGATTTGAATTGTGAAAACACTTTTTAAAAGAAAACCCCTAATATTTGGAAGAGGTGTATATTTGTTCTGGTTTTGCAATAAAGTGAAGAGTATTAAAAAGGTGAAATATAAATGCCGTTGTAAGTTGTGCAAATGTAAGTGGTCATTTTTTTTTGTCAAGAAATATATGAATGTAAAAACTTTGCAGATATTGTATATATTTTCTGTAATATATGTATATTTGGTCATAAGATGGGTGGAGAATTGTAAAAATTAAGCACTTTAATTCCTGTTGAGTACTTAAAAAGAAATTTGTATCCTGTAAAATAAAAGCATCATTAAATAAGTATTGCTGGTTGACTTTTTTTTGTCCACCTACTCTTTATTTTACTAATGAAATCTTTAAACTACATTTCCAGTTGTGTGTATGACTGTAGGCACCCATCTGCTTTGGAACCCTGGTATCTAATTTGCTGAAGTGCTGCCTATATGCAAGTCCTGCTAAGTTGGTGGAAGATATATAAGGGACTGTATATAATGCTATGACATCTTAGGTTGGGAAGATAGTGATCTCTGCAATCCTTCACAGTTTAAATCCAGATTTCTGCAATGGGAATGATAATGTTCTCTCCTGTAACCAGGACATTATGAGAGCACTTTATAGGCTTCTGCGCTGCCACCCCCATAGAAAGAGGCAGAAAGGGAACATGGTCAGCGTAGCCCTACGTCTTGCTTGCTATTACTCAAGTACTGCTCTGAACAAAAGGTTGAAACAAACATTGAGCAGCTGCTCAGTGTAATCTCTCATGCACTGAATTAAAGTGGTGCTGCAAAGCAAAAATGATCGGGTAATTAGCTGGATGTTAATCCTAAGCATAGGCACCTTTGATTCTTTAAATTCATTTGCTAGCTAAGCACACATTTAGTTAATGGAAGTGCCACTTAAACTGCAGCTACTCCTTTTCTAGTGTCCTTTAACAGACAGAAGCATCTGCATTTACCTCCAATTTCCATCATCTGTACAAAATGAACTTGTTTTGTATCTGATTTATTCTTGGTATTAATCTGCAGGTGGGCACAATGTTGCAGAAAATATATCCCCCATAATATAACGAGGAAAATTTACTGCATTACTTGTTATTTCCTCTGTGGAAGGAGTTGCATACAAGAATTTTGCTATAGTTTCTAGTTTTATTTCTCTTTGCAAACACAGTAAACAAATCAAGATTTGAAATAAGTACAGATGAACCACAGAAAATATTCCCTCTCTTCACACATTTTTTTTTGTATTTATTTTATGATTATTTTTCCCCTGTGATTAACTCTTTTCCAAAACCTTTATTTTCCTCATTAAACACAACGCAGTGCCCTCTACATGGAGACAAAAATAACAGACTTTACCCTAAACTGTACTTTAATAAGAAATTACAACTATAAAATTCAAATTACAGGAAATCCATAATTGCAGCTCCTACTTAATTCTTTTATAGCAGCAGCTTTAATAAGCACTGATATTTCTGCTTGGTAGCAACTTGTCCAAGAGTCCATCAAGTACAGGGCTGGCAAGTAAAGGGATAGGCGTTGCCTCCTCTGGCTCTCAGTAAAGATGACTAATACTACCTTATTACCACAGAATTGTTCTTGGAACTGTATGAGTTTCCTGACCTGAGAGAAAAAGCACACTGGCCTTTGGGAAGCATAACACTTGGAGCTTGTTTTCTCTAAAGAAATTGCCCTGAAGGGTCCCGTGGTGTGTCAAACGAACAAGCAGAGGGATCCTTGTGATTGTGACTGCTCTGTCTTGGAGTCACTCACTCTGTCTCCTTGGCCCTGTGTGCTAGGAAGCCATGACAGTATTAAGCCTCATCAGACCTGGTTCATTTGGTAAATCAGGATACACCCCACTGAGCTTATCTGCTCGAGGTCTACCCCGTGTCTGTGTTGCTAGTTCCTGTTTCTCAAAAACACGGTTCTGTGGTGTCATGCACAGGATATCCTACCTGCTGTCTATCTTAAACTGTTATATTTCCTTGTATTACAGCTTCTAACTATCAGAATCTTATCAAGAGAATTCATTGAGAATTTCAGCCACCAAATCCCAATCTATTTTTGTTTCCTGTCAGAAAGCATCTCCTTATGGAACAGAGCCTTAACTAAGAATGCAGAGTAAGACTTGGCTATAGATAGATTTCTAGGTCCCAAAACTTCTTCACATTAATTTCACTGAATACCACCCTACTTAACATGAAGATTACAGAAGTTTCTAAATTTGGTTTATGCATTTGTAATATTAAAATAGCCCATGGTTCAAGAAACAGAAATTGTCTTGGGAGCAGAATCTGGGACTACCCTCTCTTTCTTTGGCCTCTCCTAGCCTCAAGTTCTCTTCTGCCCTTTCCTACTCTCCTGTCTTGGAGGCAGGTGCTTATAGTAGTCTTGCTTGGGGAACATATGGAAATGAATGCTCTCTTAGGTCCACTGGACAGTGAACTTGCATTTGTGACTTTGTGAGCTTATGTTCTAAAGCAAGGCTGGAGGTTTGTACTCTCTTTTGAACATGTTTTAGCATAATATACCCACCTAGTTTTTCCAGACTCTAGGTCAGAGTCCCTGTTTCAGGGAGAGATGGTTTTTGGACTCCTATTGCTACTGAATTGCTTCCCACAGTGTGAAATTAAATGTATGATTCCGCAATGGAAGAAGATAAGATTTCAACCATAATTCTGTTTAGACCTATTACCTAGCCATGTAGAAATACTTGCTTTACCTGTCCTGCCTTACTCGCATATTTCTTCGCTTGCAAGAGGGAATCCAAACCTCTTATGTCAAGGCTTTGTGACACAGCATTTACAAAAGACCTTTCTTATCTGTGTCATATTTTGAAGTTCTTTTTCTGACTAGCACTAGGCTGGTCCTATTAACTGAATGATCTTTAGTGGCTGAAGTGCATCTTGCAGTTCTGTTTCATATGAAAAGACTTGCATCTGTGCACTCCCAGACAACTCTTACCTGCAAAGCATAGCACGTATGATATCAAGTGTGCACTCCAGAACTGCAACCTTGACTTGAACTAAAAAACTTAAGATACACTTGAGGTATCCATTAATATCATACACAGGCTGTGATGTTGTAAATCACATGTGCTTGATTATTTCCAACTTAAAATTGTGCCAAATATAATACAAAAAGCAGCATGCATAAGAAAACATGTATTATGAAAAGAAAAACTGTTCCTCTTGGCATACGATTTTATCTTTAAAAGACCACAGGAGAGAGCCCAATTTAAAATATCAGATCTAGTGTTTAAAATACTAGAAGATACAAGCTCAATTCCTCCTTGAATGCCTGCAAGTTTTGGTTGGGGTGAAGTTTTCTTCATTTTCTATTTACAGTACATCAGCTAGTAGCTAATCAAGTATGCATTTTGTTTTCCAATAAAAACCTACTATCTTGATAGCAGACAGGAAATTATTGCCTTTATTCCCAAAACCTTGGTCTTTTAATGTAAAAGGTCTTCACCTCAAAGCTGGACAGCAAACTACTGGAGTGGGAAAATCATTCACTGAAGCAGCTGTTTGTTATTCCAAGAAGTCTGGCCATCCTGGTTGCAGGGATGAAGGAGCGCTGTTGTACAGCAGTTCAGAATAATGCAAAGGTTATTTCACCTCCAGCCAAAGCTTTTGCCTCTACTTGAATTGTCAGAAATGCTGATGTCTTTCAAACCCCAGGGTACTCAGGCTCTGTTACTGACTGATGAACTGTGTGACTTCTGTGTTTGCTTGCGGCTCCCACCCTCTGTGCCCTGTCCTTTCCTTGGCTTGAAATCTACTTTCAGTTCTGCATGCATGTTTTATAAGAAGTTGTGTGACACCCCATATATTTAACGATTTTAGATGCTTAGCTTCCCTATGGGCAGAGTGAGAGAATAAAAGGAACTCTCAGTTGTTTAGTTCATCGTACTGTCCAGCAAATTTGCATCCCTGCTGCAGGATTATTCTGTTTTCGACAGAGACTGGGCTGGGCGCAGGTAACAAGTAACTTGGGGATTTCTGTCAGCACTGTGACCTTCTTACAGCCAGATGAAGTGTGTAGGAGAGCTCGCTTTGCCAACTCTGCAGAATCCCTGGACTGTGGATTTGAACACCCTCATTTCTGTTTCCTCTGGGGAAAAAAAAAAAAAAGAGCAAAAAAAAAAAAAAAAGCAAAGTTTGGAATCTGTCAGATTCTAAAATCTGTGTAGAACATCCAAACAAAGGGTCATTCTGTCAATGGATTTCATAAACTTATCTCAGCTTCTAATGGTGTTCACTGTGCAAATGCCTGGAATAAGTGCTATGAGAAAGTGTTACACCTGTGATGAGGTTGCTCTGGAGAATGCAAAAACACCATTCAATTTGGCTTCACATAAAAATCAGGTTCTGCCAGACCCATACAGTCATTGTATTGCATGGTTCCAGAAGGTGGCATTACCAAGGAACAATTTACAGAACTATTTTACTAAGTGTGCAATAACAAACAGTGTGACTACAGATAGTCAAACAGGGCAAATGCTGTGTTACATACTTGATATATTTCAGTATAGTAATCAAATATTTATTTTTGATGGCAAATACGATGGCAAGGAAATATGCTTTACTGAGGTGCTAGTTTGTGGCCATCTTGTCTGGCATAAATTAGTTAAATGGTAAATGACTTCTCTGCTGCTGTCAGTATGTCAATATAAACTGACTCTGGCTGGCTGAGCAAACATGGAAGCAGATGAAGATGCAAAACTAGAAAGAAATTCATATAATGGAGAAGAAAGACTGGAAATTTTATTCTCCTGACTTTCTAACATAGGAAACTTATAATGAAATTAGAAGATGACAAATTTAAAACTGACACCAAATTGATTTTTTGCACTATGCATAATTCGATCATGAAATTTACTGTCACAGGATGTAACTGGAGTCAACAATGTAGCATGATGGGCAAAAACCCTATTATATGGTAAATAAAGCAATCTAGTTTCCAGTAGCATAAACCACAAGAAGTATTAAACTGTCTACATCAGATCATACAGCAATATCAAAAACATTGAATACACAGTTTTGGAATCAGAAAATCTTATTACTGCATTTTTGTATTTTCCCCAGAGGGCTGACGTTGGACAGTCTTAGGGATGAAATTTTGAGGTAGATTGATATCAGGTCAAATTCAGTGTGGCAGTTCCTGTTTCCTATCAATTAACTTTTAGTAAATATCCAGTGTGATGACTACTGCCTTTTATCAGATCTTTCTGTTCCATGCTTGGTACAATGTAAGTCGGCCATGAAAGTTACAGTTAAAGCTACAGATAACCACTGCTTG